GAAAACAAACAATATTATGACAATTGTAGTTAGATTATTGGAGAAATTGAGGTTTTCACTAATTTACAACTTTCTTATAGCTAAAATATGATGCAATAAAAGAAAAATCCTAAGTAATTTGACTAAGATTACATGTAATTTAGACAATAACGGGTCGAGAATGGGTCAGGTCAGGACAGGTCGGGTCGATGAGACTACCCATGCCCGCCTCGCCCCGCCCCGCCTACGGGGCGGGTTGGACCCGCCCCAAAACAGATTAAACAGGTCGGGTAAATCGGGTCAGGTCGAAATTGTCATCCCTAAATTATCTGACAATGGATCCAGTCGTTTTTCCAGCCTAGTCTTACAAAACCGCTGAAATTTTCTGAATTACAAAACAGAAATTAGGTTTTGAAGACTGAACTTACCAACCCATTTACATGTTTATTGGTTTTCACATATGAAATTTGAAACTTGGTTCTTGGTTTTGACACAAACTTGAAATTGCATTTCCTTGCATTAGAAATGTTTACAACCAAATATCTTATAAGAGAAATGGACCAAGGTCAAAAGATTTGATGAACTGTTCATCGGCTCTAATTCTGCTTATGCCTATCTCATTCAACATTATTATGTATCCAAATTAGACGTGAATCTTGAAGGAAGCTCTCTTATTCCAGCCGTGTTCTTTTGGAAAGTCTTATGTAATTAGGGATGGCAACAAAACCCGAACCCATGGGTACCCACCCGACCCAACCCGGTCAACGCGGGTAAAATCCGTGTTGACGGGTTTTGGGCCGGGTTTGGGTTTAAACCCGTTCACTATCCACCGGGTTGGGTTGGGTTTGGGTTTAGGTAAACCCGGCCCGTGGGTACCCGCCCGCCCATATAATTAATTTTTTCGGTATATTTAATATTCTAAACAACTAGTCTTATTTATGTTTGTGGAGACATGTCTAATTTTTTCTTTTTAATTGTGTAGAATGAAGTTGATGTTATGGAGTGGAGAGTAAAGAAACTTAATTGAAAGGAAGAAGCTTTCAATTAAACATGTTATTTATGGATAATTTTTGATTTGCTTCAATTTTCTTGAGTTTTCTAGATTGGTGTTGAACAATTTGTATAGTTAATTTGTGATTTGCTTGAATTTTCTAGAATGGTGTTTTATATATGGATAATTTGTATTGAGAGATTGATATTTGACTTTAATTTTGATAAGAACTTGTAATTGTAAATTTTTAACGACAAAACCCGTGGGTACCCATGAACCCGCGGATACCCAACGGGTTGGGTTGGGTTTGAGTTTTTCAAACCCAGTGGGTTTTACCCCGGGTTTTTTTCAAAGATAAACCCATGGGTTTGGGTTTGGGTTTGGCAAAACCCGACCCGACCCGACCCGACCCATTGCCATCCCTATATGTAATGGAAGGAGTCTTTGTTTACTGCAAGTGGTGTGTGGTGGTATTGAATAATATACCAAAGAAGCAAGCAACTGAAAAAGTGGAAGAGGATAAGAACTACTGTGCACGTCTCTTCCTCTCTTCTTCCTTTTTACTTTTCTTCCATTCCATTCCATGCGCAGCCGGCCGACGGTCGTAAAGCAAGGACGGCGAAACTTTGGTTGCCGGCTACGGCGGCCTCTTTTCCCCTTCTTTTTGTCTTCGTCTTCTATTTGCCTTTCCATTATCCTACCTTGAGAGAGAGAGAGAGAGAGAGAGAGAGCCAAAATTGGCTTCACGGCTAAAGTTGGCGATCTTCATTGCCATACTAAAAAATATCCAACTCCTAGGGTGAAAATATCTAGGGTTTTATTCATGAAAAAAAAAATCTAGGATTTTCTCTTTGGTCTTTACTTGGTGTATGCTCGGGTGGGTAATTTCACGTTTTATAAAAAATATACGAGATAGAATGATAGTGACAATGTGACATGGATTTTCTTGAATTCATCATATTTCCATTTTCAATTTCAAAATTCCTAAACGGATCATTATTCTGTCTTGCGTAGTTGTATATTCTATTACGTATAAGATGAGTATATGGTTTATCAGTAAATAGTGGAGTTACGAGTCGAAACAAAGAGTAAGAATGTAAATATTAATATTTGAAAGAATTTAGTGCACACTAACCACAATGTGTGTATAATATTTAATTGTGAATGCGCATGCTCTGCATTTCTTTTGGGCCTGTTGTTGTATTATTAATCACATTGATAAATAAGACAGCTAACTTTTTTTCTTCTTCTTTTGTTGTCCTTTTAATCGGTACTTAATTAGTTTAATTATCCTCGGGTTAATTAAATTTATTATTTAAGTCGACAAGCAAATCGCATTGTCGACATTCCCGAGGTTCGGTGTCCAAATCTGGATTAAGATAATCAGTTATCACCATTAACACAGTAGCAGAACAAGGTAAAAATAACTAATGAGGATTTTTTTTTTTTAAATGGACGGCGATCGACGTCGAGCCGCTGGGTGGGACGGAGAGATGGGGACGGAGAGCGGGTTGAAGTGGCGGCGTCAACGGCCCGACTTAACGGCCGGCGAGAATACGACGAAAAAAGAAAGAAGAGAATCTTTAACAATGATAATCTAAAACAAGTGATTGGACTGAAAGTGGGAGCTGGTGGTGAAAGGAAGGAGAAGTGCAGTTCGTTGATCATTCTTTTCAACCTTTATTACAGTTTCCTTTCCTTTTCTCCTCCTCCTGGTTTGCTCTAAACCATGGACTGGAAATTCAAAAGGAACGTGTATAACATAAAAGAGAAGTACAAAAAATGGGACCAATTCAAAGTTAGTGTCATCACACCAAAAAACCCATTTTTTTTTAATATAGAGTTAATATCATTTGCATCGAAATACTCAATATTTCATATTTATTCATAACCATGCGTATTTAATTAAAAAAAGTTACCTAATAAATGAGGAAATAATAACTCATAATGACCGATTGTGACTTATGAGGTGGTGTATGAAGAATACACCGTAAAATAATGGTAGAATCTCGCCTCATCCTCAATAAGCGGATCAAGATATATTTGAATGAAAGGAGACTAAAAAATATATGCTCATAGAATTCAAATTGGCGTGGATGCTAAAGCATTATCAACTACTCTATTTTCCAAATTTATCATAAAATTTACATAATTTTGAGAGCTGAACGAGCTATAACCTCCCCTGCCAATAGCGTACGTGACTCTACGACTGTCACTGTTAGTGATTAGGGTTATAAGTGCCCTTGATCCACTTACTCTTACCAAGGGAAAATAAGTAAGGTTATATGTTACGAGCTTTGAAATCAAAATCTTTTTTGAGTTCAAAGTTCAACGTTAAAAGCCGGCAATCAAATTTGTATTGGCATAAATAAATAAATAAAGCTTGGTGCTTTGCCATTAATTTATTATAGCAATAATGCTTAGATTGAAATGAAATTTATTGGTGAAAAAAAATAGAAAATGAAGTTTCTAACTACTTATTCCCCTGTCCGCCGCACCAAACGTAATAATGCATGCAAGCAAGCAAGCTGCTCAGCTTAATAACATAATAATAGGCCAATATATAATAATTTATCATATTATGATAATAATAATAATAAAAAATTCTTTCCTATGCTGAATTATTTGCCTGGCCTGCCCATACTTGATTTTTATCACCAATGTCACCAAGCAACTGGAAGAGAACTGCGGCTATTGTCCTAATCAAGTAGCTAGCAATTCCATATCACATGAGTTTTAATCATGATGTCTTTTCGGAGTATTTTCGTGCAAACTTCGTAGTAAATTATTTATCACGTCAACAAGATCTAAAACACCTCGAATATACAAATATTATGGAATGATGATGTTTTTAATGCATTATTTGATGCAAGTTTTCACGGTGTAATACGTTCATCTCCAAATGTTTGTTTGAGAACTTTGGGTAAATTTATGGGTTAGTAAGGTGTGCTATTGCTCATCACTTATCTGATGATTATATGTACAACAAGTAGGGAAGAGTTGGAGATGTGTTGGGCCTTCTATTTTGTTTGTCTCTCTACTATGAGCTGTTCTCCATCATTGATTCATTTCCATTCTCTCTCCATCTCTTCTCATTTAAAGCACATACCAAGAAATACATTTTCATTACACAAACAAACATTCAACTTTGCTAGATCCAAATTCGTGCAAAACATAGTTGCATGAATTTCGATTTCAGGCCTCGTATTTTCTCGTCTTTGCTGGTTTCGAGTTTCGGTTTAACGAGAATGACGACGCAGACTGACACAATGTTCGTTAGATTCATGAAATTATCGTATTTTGAACACACATTAGTTATATTATGATGTTATTTGTATGAAAGAAGATTTTAGCTGAGGCATGGGTGAAAAAAAATAAGAAATCGAATGTGTCGCTACTCACTAGTATAATGGACGTATCTTCACCACGAGGCATATGAAAAACGTCAAAAGTTGCTTTACATACAATGTAACAAAACGGCTTAACTACTTTTACAAGAGAAATAAGTGGTGAATCAACAGGACATATACTTAATAGCCAATCAATCATATGGAGGTACCACGAAGTTCTAAAGCCGAGTACGAATTCATGCTACTGGCATGTCGATGGTACACCAAACACCTGAACTCGTGCTCCACCACTCATCTACATCTCTTTGGAGCATTCATTTGCTTGAAATGAAACATAAACATCATTCGAGTACTTCCTGTTAAGTACATGAAATTGTTACTTTCTTTCGACGGACCATATTTTTCTTTTATCTTTTTGATCAATATGTTATCTTTTTTCTTTATGGGTACCGTTATGTCATTTTCAAGGTGCCTTAGCCGAAATTACCACCATCGGATGAGGCAAATTGGAGAGAGCGAGAAAGAAAAAAGAGTAGGTGGGAGAAATGGAAAGTAGAAATAAAATTCGGACCTTTCTGGAAATATAAAACACTTGGAGGGCATCATTGCAAAAGAAACGCCACCGCGTTTTCAGTTTTATTTCAACTCCCCCCTCCTTTTGCTCTTTTATCAGTTTCCTTCAGCTCAGCTCTCTCTTTCCCTCCCTCTCTCTATATACCCGCCGGATTCCGGCGACATGTTCGCCGGCGAAAAATTCCGGGCCAGTTCTCTTCTAATTCAGCGCTCGAGATCTGGTACGCTGATACTTTTATTGTCTGCCGTTACTGTCACAGAAATTTCCCTCAAACTTATTTCTGCGAATCTCTCTTAATCGCAAAAACATGTTGTCTTTCTATGTGCCGAGATCCATAAGAGGCGCCCGATAGAGGATTGGAAGCGTGTTAGAATGATTAGAATTAGGATCGGGACTGAGAAATATCGATCTGAATTGTTGTAACTCGTCGTTCGTTTCCCTTGCTGATTGAATGGAAACCAGTGTCTTTAGAAATCGCTTAGCGCTTCTACAATGGTCTGGTTCTGATGTTGGTTACCGTTTTCTGCTGAGTTTTTTTTTTTCAGGTGACAGTTCCGTCGGAAACAGAAATTTTATCGGGGAATCTCGGTAACTGGTTGCTGGGTAATTATTGGGGCTCGAGTTCCTGTTTCATCTGAACCGGTGGTGGTTTGGTTTGTTTCCTCAATATTCTCTGAACATATACTCACAAAATCATGAGCTGTTATCTGGGGTGAAAAACGTTATTAAAGATGGAGTCTTTTGATTCGGTGTGCGTTGGAATCGAATCTGGGTTTCAGATTGGTGGGAGTAGTATTGATTCATTGAATTGGTGGGTATAGTCGACAGATGGAAATTGATTGCGTGCAAAGCTTGGGGATTTCTTTACAGGGGTTTTGAAGGGGCTTGCTCAAGAGCTGTACCATAGTTTGATAACTTGTTGGTGTTTTGTTTTGAATTGTTTGGAAGATTTGCTTGATTTTGTTTAACATTACCAGAAAGAAAGAAACACAGGAGAGGTTTGTTTCAGATAAATTATTTTGATCGATGGAGGGGGAAGAAGAACAAAGAGTTAAAAGAATAAGGATTAGGGAAGGAGTGAATGATGGTCGATTGAGATTCGGATCAAGTGATTCACTCTTTCCTGGGCTAATCGACGACGTGGCATTGAACTGTCTAGCACACACCTGCAGATCGGACCATTCCTCTTTGTCGTGCATAAACAAGAGGTTTCATAAGTTAATCAAGACCGGGTATCTATATGGGTTGAGGAAACACTTGGGGATCACTGAGCACTGGGTATACTTGGTTTGTGATCCAAGGGGGTGGGAGGCATTCGACCCCACGAGACAAAAATGGATGGCACTTCCAAAGATACCTTGCGACGAGTGTTTCAACCATGCTGACAAAGAATCATTGGCAGTTGGCAATGAGCTGCTGGTTTTCGGTCGTGAGTTGTTCGACTTTGCAATTTGGAAGTATAGCTCGGTCAGCCGCATCTGGACCAAGTGCGATGGAATGAACCGGCCACGTTGTCTGTTCGGGTCAGGAAGCTTCGGTTCGCTTGCTGTTGTTGCAGGTGGCAGTGACAAGAACGGCAAGATCTTGCAATCCGCTGAGCTGTATGACTCCTCGACAGGCAAATGGGAGATGCTCCCCAACATGCACTCGCCACGTAGGCTCTGCTCGGGTTTTTTTATGGACGGCAAGTTCTATGTGATCGGAGGGATGTCGGGTCCCACAGCATCGTTGACCTGTGGGGAGGAGTATGACCTAGAGACCAGAAAATGGAGGAAGATCGAAGGGATGTATCCTAATGTCAATAAGGCAGCTCAGGCGCCTCCCTTAGTCGCAGTCGTGAATAACCAGCTGTACGCGGTCGAGTATCTAACTAACATGGTGAAGAGATACGATAAGGAGAAGAACGCTTGGAACGTCCTGGGTAGACTTCCGGTGAGAGCAGATTTGTCCAACGGTTGGGGTCTGGCTTTCAAGGCTTGTGGCGAGCAGCTGCTGGTTGTGGGCGGGCAGAGGGGACCCGAAGGCGAAGGTATTGTTCTCAACTCATGGCGTCCTGAGTCTGGGGTGAATAATGGTACCTTGGATTGGAAGGTAATTGGTGTGAAGGAGAATGTTGGGGTGTTTGTTTACAACTGTGCTGTTGTTGGGTGTTGATAGGATTTGTGATTTATAACTCACTTTTGGGGTGGGGAAGATAGAAGAAGGGTTTCTTTTCATTGCATAATAGAGGGTTGGAGGAGATTCAGGATTGGCCTGCTGCAACAATTATTTGATTTTAACTAGAATGAATTAATTGTTCACTGAGAAGAAGAGAAATAGGCCTTCCAATGTCTCTTTTTTTCCTCTTCATTTGACTCCATTTTCCTTTTTCTCCTTCCCCCTCCATTGATAAGTTAACCATGGCTGTACCTAAACACATGTGTTGTTGTCTCAACCGTGATTCTGCAAATTTCCTTTGCTGCTTTCCAGCAGCAACCCAATAGGGGTTTACTGGTACTGCTACAGATTCAATCCTCTCCAAAGTTTCTCTTATATTGATTGGTACTTTTGTATCGTTCTTTCGTTGTTGTTGTTGGATTGCTTGTCCAGCTCAAGGACACATGTTCTTGCCATCTTCTTGTATCTTTCTGTTGGCCAACTCCTTCCCATCTCGTACTGGAATGAGATTGTCGTACTACTATGTTATACAGTTCTATTGCTGTTGCTGTTTGATTCCAATTAGGCTTACATGTTTGTATCAACGCATGCTGCTGCCGTCGGATCATGTACCACGCAATCTCGATCGTTGAATGTACGTGTGTTAACTTGTACATCCAATGGCTGAGACTGCCAGCCCGCATGATGTGAAGTTTTCATGTTAGCTGGGAAGATGATGAGTTTGGTTTATCGATAATGAGGGGAAAAGCTTTGCTGATGAAGTGGGGTTGCTTTGTGATGTTTCATTTGCCATCAATGGGATTTCGTGCAGAGATTGATATGCTGTTGTTTGGAATGCATCAATCAAAATCGTGGGTATTGGGCCATTTTTTGATGCGTGGGGTTGGATTGGAATCCGCTTTGGCTTTTGTTGTTGTTGTTGTTGGTGATTATCATGTTTTGCTGTCTAACCATAATCATGATTAGTTTGGGACTTTTACTTTAAGCTCACCCACTTCTGATTCATCGTTGACATGATATACTTTCGAGTTCAATTCTCGTTGTTAATTACTCTCTTAATGTCACTAATCATCTTCAGAATTCGTAAAGTGGTGGATTAGCGGGCTTTAATGGGTGACTAATAACCTTCCGAATCGCCCCGCCGGCGCCGCGTCGTTTTCCCCAGAAAATGGCCCGCCGACCGTCGGCAGCTCGGCAATCAGGATGATGTGGCAATACAAGTACATGGTCTATTAACTTTTTGATCTACTTTTTTTTTTTCCGGTGATGTTAACTTCTCATCTACTTCATTGAAGAAAAAAAAAAACAGAGCCCTTTTCTTTATCTACTTGCAGTGGGCAACCACCACCATCTCCAGAAGCAGGCCGGCGGACTTTCGGCGACAGGCGTCCCACACTTAAATAATAAATGTTGCCCCACGTGTCACCAGCTGCCGTCCAGTTTAGTGGCCGGAGACGCAGTTCCCGATGGCCTGCCCGTCTCCGTAATCACGACCGTTAAAAGTTTGCCATATCCATCTCCGATCAAACGAGCAACGTCCCACCTCGTAGTTTCTATTTTAGGCTGACTCGTGTGGGAGATGACATGGCACACCGCAGCTGACATGGCACCGCCAGGTGGGCGGTGTTTGATAGGTCAACTACAACACGTACTGGACTCGAGTAATTATGATTTGAAAAATTGTGCGTCAAAAGTCAAATTATCGGTAATCTGCGTTAATGTTATATCAAAATCAGATGAAACGAGTTTTAGAATGAAATGGAGGGAAACATAACAAGATCGTAAGAGAGGATCTGTTCTCGTTTGGTCCTACGCCAGATGGGACATGATTGGTCAGGTCGAAATTTATCATCCTCTGGAATGTATATACCATTGTATTAGTTTAGGAACCTTGATGGATTCACAATAAGGTTTAGGGACTAATACGATAAAAACGAAGAAGTTTAGGGTCTAATTGAGCATTTTGCAAATCAATTAAAGAAATTTAAGAAAGAGCATAAATTCGTCTTAATTTGTTTTATTTATTTATTTTCAGCTCCAAAATTCCAATCGTTGAGTGGGAGAGAGAGAACGTTATTCTTTCCCTCTTTTTTTTTCTGTTAGCATAAAAAAAACATTTAGCATCAAAATCAAGAAAAAAGGGAAGAGCGACGATCATGGGGAATACCGGAAGCATCAACCGGCGGCAACACCACCACCAGCACCACAACCAAAACCACCACCTCTCTCACCACCACCACCGGCATTCCAATCGCCACCACCGTCCTCCTCCACCGCCGCCGCCGCCTCAGGTCACCACAAGCCAATACGTTTTCGCGGCACCGTCTCAGTACCCCAACCCTAATTTGCCGCCGCCACCTCCCTACTATCCCCACCACCACCACCACCACCATCCTCCTCCTCAATCTCATCACGGCTATTACCCCTCGCCGCCGGCGCCCCCGCAAAATTACCCGCGCTACCCTTATGGCCCCCTCCCGCCGCCGCCCGCGCCGTACGTCGAGCACCAGAAGGCCGTGACGATCAGGAACGACGTCAACGTCAAGAAGGAGACGATTCGGATCGAGGAGGATGAGGAGAATCCCGGTAGTTTCCTCGTCGCTTTCACCTTCGACGCCACCGTTCGCTGCAGGCAAGCAAATTGAATCCATTGTTCCTCTTTTCCCCCCCTCTTTTTGAAATCTTTCTCCGATTTTGATTGCATCAATTTTGCAATCTCAGCATCACGGTGGTGTTCTTTGCGAAGGAGAGCGAGGACTGCAATCTCGTAGCGACGAGGGAAGACGTGTTCAAGCCGGTGACGATGTCGTTCGAGCAAGGTCTAGGGCAGAAATTCAAGCAACCTTGTGGAACTGGAATCGATTTCTCCAAGTTCGACGAGGCGCAGCTGAAGAAGGCGAGCGATGAAGGGGTCTACCCTTTAGTGCTCAAGGCTGAGGCTTGCCCGTCGGCCGCCACCGCCGAGGGGTCGGAAGCTAGTAACAAGAATGGGAATTCGCAGATCACGTTGGCGATCTTCGATTGGAAGGAGAAGGGTGATGGTTACCATGCTCGAGTTATGAAGCAGATTCTGTGGGTGAGCAATACCAGATACGAGTTGCAGGAGATTTATGGGATTGAGAATTCGATGGAAGTTGAATCCGGCGGGGATGAGAGTGGGAAAGAATGTGTTATCTGCTTGTCGGAACCTCGAGACACCACCGTTCTTCCTTGCCGCCACATGGTAAGTGGCATTGCATCTTTTGCTCTGTTCTTTCATTACGCCTGCAGTTTTTGCTTGGTTGCTTGAATAGGAAGAAATGTAGATTGCTAAATGCCTGGTGATCCCTCCTTGCTCCTTAATAGTTAATAATCTCCTGGAATGCTTGCTAATCATGCTATGCTAGTCGATCCGTAGTACTTGCTAACATAATGATTACGATTACTACATCAATGTTTACCAATGCTTACTGATCATGTGCTGAAAGAGTTTAGAGATCTACCCCTCGTAATGGTTTCTAACATAAAGATTTAACCAGTACTAATACTTCCATCAAAAAATTGCTGAATGATTACTAACCAATAAGGAATCGTTACTAATGTAATGACGTAGTCAATCATCATATTACTGTTTAATTGCTGATTACAAGTGTATATATGCTAACTAATCGACCCTCAAATGTTTACTAATGACCCCCCTAGGAGAAATGCCTATTAATGACATCCTGAATGCTAACTAGTTGGACAACTGAATACATGGAAATGAACCCGAATCGATTTATAACGCGTACATTGTGGGATTGTTTTGAAATATAGAGACACCTAGTCTTCTCTGCTTGTGTCTGATTGTGGTATGGGTGGTTGTGGCAGTGCATGTGCAGCGGATGTGCGAAGGTGTTGCAGTTTCAGACGACAAAGTGCCCGATCTGCAGGCAACCGGTGGAGCGGCTCCTGGAAATCAAAGTGAATGATGTCGTACCAGAGAGTTGAGACACCAGGAAACGGTGGTTTATGATCTGATCCCTGCAGGCAAGCAAACAATCCAGTGGGATTGTAGTTGTAAAGTTTGAAGATCACTCTCTTTTTTCGCTTTGTGGTTTGAAGAACAGATTCTGTTTTCGGATCACTCTCCAACAAGGCGAAGTTACTTGGGGAGTGTATAAAAAAGAAGGAAAGGGGCTTTTGTATACCCTCTTTTGACTGTGCTGTAAATGCAAATCTCACATGAATTGCAAGGTAACTATATATACATGTATTATGCTTGGTTCTCAAACAATGGTAGGAGCTTTTCTCTCTTTTACCCTCTCAATGAAGTTGCTCCTCTTGTGATTAAACTACATCCTGCTTACTTTATGATTCTCAAGTAATTTGAATTCCAACTATCAAAACATGGATCCAACGGCGTAACAACGTGTTCATGCCAAGCTCTGTTGATGTGAACGCGGATTGTGTTCATAAGACGGAAGAAATAAATACTCTCGTAGGAGAAAGTTTACCACATTAGCAGGACGAATAAGAAACTGCAGAATCCAAAAATGACCAAGGGCGAGACTGTAAGCCTAAACAGAACATTTTAGGAACATTTTCCAGAGAGAAGCAAAGATGGATGCACAAGCATCAGAATCACCAGACGTCCGTCCACAAATCCAATAAATAACACCGTCATAAGCTAGCCATACTCCTCCGCTTTCTGAACGACAAACCATAACACACTGAGCTGCTGCTCATCTAGATCGAAGTTCAGCAGTACTCGCGTCACCTTTCGATTTGAACAAACCAGAACAAAGAAGTAGAAATGTGTCGAATTAGTATCCATCCATGGCAACAAACATTATGGAAGAAAAAAAAGACACCAAAAATGGGGCAAAAGGACTTCATACCAGAGATTGTAAAAGCAAATATCAGTAATCCAACTATCTTCCCTGATAGCCTCCTCTGGTTCTTCTTCAATTAATCCGTTTGCAAAATCTTTACACACCATAATCAAGTGACAGGGATTAATACTAAAAAAACAATATACATTATCATTAACCACAACTACAAGACAGCGACTATATATTTTACCTGGCACAGGGATAGGAGTCGGCCAGAAAGGAATCAACGGCTGGAATACAGCCCAGCCCATCGGATCACCTCTTCCCACCTTGCCCCAATGTTTGAACTTGAGATGGGTCGCATCACTTTCAGCGATGGGTATAACCTCTCCCGCCACCTCAAGCTTGAGCACATCGAAGGGGACGACATAGATAGGATCATAGACGCGATCATCACGAAGTTTCGTGCCTCCATCATCGTCTCTGAAGTGATGATTGAAGTCGAAGAAGAAAGGGTCGTGATTATGCTTTTTAGCATAATCGCGACACTCGAAATAGACGACCTCTGGCCTGCTCGGATGCACCCCCAGCACCCCTAACCGCGTCATCCTCCTCCTCCTCCTCCTCGTCCTCTTCCTTCCTCCGCCTTCTTCTATCTTGTTCATCTTATGTCGTCGGATGATCATGTTGTACAGCACTCGCATCGACACCTGATAATCCAAGCTCCATCTGTACCCGCCCACCAGGTCACGATCCTCTTCCAGCTTCCAGAGGCTAAAGAACCCTTCTTTGTTGTAGTCTGGTCTATCTGGGCGTGGAAAGACCATCCCACGCAAGAATCCCTGGGAAACCCCAACCAAGAAATTGTTGTTGACAATATCATCCGACCATAAATGAGAACAATCAACCAAATCGATCTTCGGTGGACTCTGCTTGCTGAAAGGATCGTAAACAGCAACTCTGGCTTCCGAGGTCTTCCAGAACAGCTTGTTCTTCGCGGTAGAACAAGCATTGCCGATGCCAATGTAGGGTGCGGTGGAAGGTACGAGCGGTAGTTCATCATGCACTGTCATATGGCGCCCAAAACTACGGAAAGTCCACTCCCATGTCTCTGAGCTGAAGGCAGTCACTCCAAGACAATGCTCACCTGTAGAAATGAACACTACCCGAAATCGAAACTCGAGATTGTACCGCACAACAGAATCACTACTACTGCTAGAACAACTCAAATCCTCGGTAAAGCAGGGTTCGCAAACGAATCCAATTAGGGAAGCATCACACTCGGAATACTGCTGACGATGAGTTCCAAAGTAGAATCCTTGGAATTTTGCGAGATTTCGAGGTACCAGAGGGAGTATGACATACTGCTTCGTAAACGGATTGCAGACGAAGAACCTCCTGCGGTACCTGTTTTTCGGCCTGACCCTCCCCAACAGAAGCAAATCGTAGCAGCACGAGATGACTTGGATCGTGTGGCGGTCGACATTCTGAACCATATCGTCGGAGAGGAAAATTGGGGGAACATTGCTCCTCACGATTGACTCGAAATGTGTTTCTGGGCGGTCGAAGTAGATCAGCAGAGGCCGCTCGCCGCCGTTGTTGGTGAGGTTGAGCTTTTGGCGGGAAATCAAGTGGCGGAGGGTGTTGGGACTGGAGATTAGGGCTTCCCAATGCTTGCAGACGGATCGGCAGACGGAAACCGATCTAGGGTTCGGAAGGCGCTGCAGAATGTGGAGGAGGAGACTGTCGGGGATTTCGCTGATGGGGGAATCCGAATTTGGGCGTTCTTCTTCGGCTGCTGCTCGGCGTCTCTTGCGGCGTAGGTCGGGCCGCTGGGTTACGGAAGCGGCGGCGAGTTTTGCAGTGGCTGCGGCGGATGTTCTTTCGCGGCTGCGGAGGAGATAAGGAGGCGCCGGCGGACGGGGTGAGCGTAGCCGGTCGTCAGAAACGGCCGTTGGCGGCGGCAGCATCGTGGAAAAAACCCTAACCCTAATCCTGGGGACGGGAAACTGGTTGGTTTGACCGAGAAATAAACAAACCTGATTTTCCCAGCCCACTCATCTAAGACTTGGCTCGCAAGGTAACGTCCATTAAATATACCTACCTTATCCCTCAAGTCTTCCAATTTCTCACTGCGTTCATCGTCAATGTCAAGGTCAATCAAACCCTTTTAAAAATTCCAGTAACCGTGTACAATGGATCGACGGCAATGGGGGAAATTTCCGAGCTTTCTTCTTCCCACAGTGATGCCGTGTTACTCACGCCTTTATAATTCCCAGACAACTCTACATTTCTCATTTCCTAAAGGAAAAAACAGAGCACTCTGCATATGGCTGCTTTAGCTTCCTCTTCATCTTCATCTTCAGCCGACTCCAATCTGGCGGAGAATAAGGTTGTTTCATTCAATACGAACCATTGTCGTTATCTGCTAGCTCTCGGCCATAGTTTTAGCAATGGCGGTAACTATAGGGATGCTCAGAGAGTAGCAGCAAATCCATGATGAGTTATGTTGTTAGCATGCCTCCTGCTTTTTACTAGCAGCATGTTTCGACAGCCAAGGAAGTGGAATATTCCATTCCCTAAACCTGTTAACAGTCTTCAAAGTAGGCATTGGCGGATCCAGGGGGTGGCCAACCTAGGCCTCGGCCCAGCCCTCCTCTGGATCCAAAGTTAGTATAGTCCTTATGAATTTTTTGATTTTAGACATTCAGTTTAGTGTTATTTTATAATAAGATTGTGTGTAACTAGAAAATAATTCATATGAACATATTCAAATAACTACTCTAAATTTAGCTTATAAACTCTAGTCCCAAAGATTTTCGTCTAAACAAAAACAACGAAACCTGGAATTCTAAAAGTCTAAAGCGTAAAAGACTAATAAAAGAAAAATATGATATTTATTTCATTGAAAATTTACTAGAGCGGCTGTTGGATATAGGGATGGACACACAATGGAAATTGATTAGCCGATTGATTTTAGTGTTGACGTTGTCCGTTTCAACAGCTACTACGGCGAGAACCTTATCAACAATGAAACATGTGAAAACATATTAGCGCAACAAATGAGCGATGAATTACTCGCAAGTTGCTCAAGTATTTTATTTGAAACAGAGTATACTATTGGTATTGATGTAGACTCCATTATTGATGCATTCGCTAAATTAAAACGCCATCGTGAACAATTGACATTGTAAAAAAAAAAAAACATTATCCTTTTTACATTATCTAATTTCTAATGAAATGCGACCCAGTGCGCTACTGTGTTCTGGATCCGCCGCTGAAAGTAGGAATGTTTGGCTGAGATTCATCATTATGGAAAGCAATGTGAGGACTGAGGTCTGACTCAGTTTTGCCTAATTACCATTGACTTCAATTTTCCACCATTAATGGTCAGCTATCATGGTTGGCCTTGGATCTTGTGTATCTCACATCTTCAGAATGGAAGCCCTGTCATCCAAACCTACCTCTTTCAACTGTCTGGTCTTTCAGCAGAGTCCAGGACCAGCAGAACCTTAGTAATTACAACATCCCTACCATTTTTGTAGCAGACAGAGAAACCCAGTCAGCCTGCCTACCTGCTATTACCAGCCAGCACCAACTTTTAAGTTTTTAACCAGTCACTCACTCACTGAAAGAGAGAAAGGAAGAGAGACAGGTCTGTTTTGTCAAAAGGGAAGGCAAGGTGGTGTGATGATTTGATATGAGTTGTGATGATAGCAAAAGGAAATTGGCCTACCCCATCCCACCCTTTTTTGCGATTATTGTTTTCTCTCAACTTAACTAATACGCTTATTGCTGTTATGATTACTCTCAATTCTCTTTTGGGTTGTCTCTACTTTCTGGTTTTATGCCTTTTTTTTTAATATTTGATGGAGTTGGTTATCTCATCTTTTTCCTTGGAAGATTGATATTTCTTTACTAGGTTACTTAGGGCCAACTTTTACTCCGTCCCGAAGAAAGCGTTGGTTATTTATTATAATCGACTTTGATTATTTACCATGTAGATAATCCAATTCCGTTGCAGACCCGTTCTCGAGATATTAGTTGTTAAATCGAAATTTTCAGTGACCAATAATCACAATCGATTAATCGTATCAAAATTCGATAGTTTAACACGTGTCAGAGTGTCAACTTGTTTGATCGACAACTCTAATTGCTCCACTGATCATCCACTTCCCAATTGGCTAGAAATGGCAATGGGGCAGGTCCGGGGCGGGTATCTCGATAGTCGATACCCATACCCGCCCCATGACAGGTCGGGTCCAGGTCGGGTAATTTATTACGGGCGCGGGTTGGGGCAGGTCGACCCAATGGATATGTAATTTATGTGAAATACATTAGAAATATTCGTTATTTTCATTAAAATACCAAGAAAGAAACCATAATATGATAAAATCTAGTTAAATTATTGAAGAAATTGAGATTTTCACTTAATTAAAACTTTATTATACCTTAGATATAATGTAATAAGAGGAAAATCCTAAGTAATTTGACTAAGATTATATGTAATTTAGACAAGAACGGGTCCATAATGGGGCGGGTCAGGGCAGGTCGGGTCGATGAGAGATACCCATGTCCGCCCCGCCCGAAAACATACCAAACAAGTCGAGTAAATCGGGTCAGGTCAAAATTGCCATCCCTACCAATGACTATGGAAGTGGAACAGGATTTCAGGAAGTTTCTTACGGATTGATATGCTACGGATCTCACTGTTGTGATAGCAAATAGGAAGTGGGCACAGGTGGATTTCTGTACTGGATTAGGCCCATGCTAATTAGTTAGTGCAATGTGGAGGTGGCATCGTATCTAACTAATTAATTAATTAAGGTGTCGGGAAGACAATGTAACCGATTGTCATTAAGAATGTTGGGCAGAGTGCATGGATGAATGAAGTTGAAGTCAAAGTCAAAGTCAGAATTAGTCAGGCACTGAAATGGGATTACGGGAATAGATTAAACGGGAAGGATTAATTGTTTGTTCAAAGAGGAGTTGAAGTGGTCATTATGGTTTACTTTGAATGGAGTTTGGGTGGGGGAAATTGCAGTTCAATTAATTATAATTTTGGATTAAGCCAATTAAATACGGTCTAGTGACATTACATGATTTGTGATTGCATAAAGTAAATGAATTTTTCTTGTATCCTTAGAATAAATGGTTTCTCTGCCTTAAACAACTAAATTTCATAATTTTATTGAAGAATGAGCACAAAATTATAAAAATAACAATGGTTTGTTGCAAAAGTTGTAATTATAAGTATATGCGTATTTGTCAAGAACCATTTAGTAAGAGTTTTAACTATGAATGTTATAGCATTTACTAACTCCTCATTCAAACGAAAACCTACTCATATGAGTTTGAAATTTTTATTAGGTCTGATTATCATATGCTTAGCGAATTAGGGGAAAGAACCATTTAGTAAGAGTTTTAACTATGAATGTTATAGCATTTACTAACTCCTCATTCAAACGAAAACCTACTCATATGAGTTTGAAATTTTTATTAGGTCTGATTATCATATGCTTAGCGAATTAGGGGGTTGTTGAGATTCCGACAATATCATGTAATGATCCATTTGATCTCAATAACTCGAGTTGTGTAAAAAAACAATTAAGATTAATTTGTGGACAAGTTTATTTAATTATGCACCACACTCACCTTTCCTCTTTTATGTTTCTTTCTTTCTTTCTTCGTGGATTGGAGTTTACCCCAATAACGAAACAAATTAGTGACGTTGAGAGCCCGAGATTAAAGTAAGCAAAATCAGTTGTATATCTCCTTGGCAGAAGAATTCCCACCAATTCTTATCAAAGTCGCAATCAACAAAGCATCTAGCTATGGCTCTATTATCTGCATCTCTAATCTTTTTTTTTTTTTTTAACTTTCCATTAAGTGGTTGGTTTAGGAAAACTAAAGGCCATTCTCATGCATGCATCTGGACTTAACTTTGATTCTTAATTGCGTGCTTAAGTAATGTCAAGAGAGGAATCAAATCTAATCCTCTCTCCAATTGCCTCCCTGTTCTTTTTTGGAGGGCAATGTTAATAGAATTTGCTTGTATTGATGAACAAGTTAACATAAACTGCAATTCAGTTTTACCGTACTCAAATAATTTCGTACACTTAGACTTCATCGTACAATACAATTTTTGTCATCTATTCCAATGCGGTAGTTGTACATATGGACCACAACAGAATGATCATATTACCTTAGTATATGCGTATTGTTTTTTTGGTGTCGATTTTGGTAGTGCAAGGGTAAATAAGGAGGATTAATATTTAATCTTTCAACCTTAACCAACGAGAAATACCAACACCTTTGATTCATTAGCTCTTGCTGGCCCAATCATTAACCACCACCTTGCTTACCATATCTAAATCAACATCTCGCGAGAGGATCGAATTCGATGATTCCATGTTCTGTTAGGATTCTTAATCGTGGGTTATAATCCATAGACTAAAAAAGGTGCAGAGTTCGTTGAAATGTTCAGGCGGGGAAAGGAAAGGAAGAGTAAAGAGTAGCATAAGAAAGACTTGAAGTGGAGGCTACGCTGTAGAGATGGCTTTTTCTTGCAAACAAGGAAAAGTAAAAGTAGCAGAGACAGTCAGACTGACAGTCAAGCAGACAGCATAATATAATACTATAATCAACATAACCAAACCAAATAGTACTTCATTGATTCCTGAAGGTTAGTTTTGGTTTAGCTATGGAAGTGAGAAAAGGAATTTAATTTATCCCCTCAATTGCCCACTTTAGAATGGTACAGTTACTACAGTATGCTAAATGGGATAGGTTTTAGACTTTTAGTGTAGGTTCATATCATTGGATTGTGCGACGTATGATATTGACGGTTGAGATGGCGAGTAAATGATCGAACGGTATCAGCCTACGTTGACGCGCGGCTACTGGTTGTGACCAAATTCGAGAAAGAGACCGGAGGGATGGGAATGTGGGCTAAGAAGGGAGGTTGTGTATTTAGCATGACCCCAACTGAAAATACTTTCCTGTCTTCTTTTCCTTTTCAGTTTTGCTTTAGTTAAAGGGAAATGAGAAAAGAAGAGAAATCTGGATGATGATGTTCAAGTGGAAGGAATTTGGCAGAAGACTCAATAGTACTGTTGTAGTACTTACTAGTTGTTGTAGCATTAAGGATTGACACACACATAAAAAGGAAAGGAGGGAAGGAAGGGAAAGGATCAAAGGTGCCATCAAGGGAAGTAGTAGTAGGGCAGGCTTCCCACCAACTTTTGCAATTAATGACATTTTGGAGAAAGAAAGGAGATGAAAACCACTGACAGTGACCACATCATAACCTCCCAATCCCATTAATCTGCTCCTTGCCCTCTCCCATCCGATACCCACCATTATTATTCCTTCTTCTCCCTTCTCCCATGCTCTCAGAATTTAACTCACCTCTCTAGCAAGTTAAAAAGGGGAGAAAAGAGCAAGCTTTGCCTTTATCCTCTCTTTCTGCTTTTGGGTAACGGCTGAGTCATTCCTTTGCTTTGGGGTTAGCTTTGGTTTGCTGCTGGGTGGTTACAAAGATCGAAGCTTTTTTTGCCTTTCTGGGTTTGAATTTGTATGGAAATGGAGGAGAAGCTCTTGAATGAGATGAAGGGTGATGTGGGTACTAGCCGATCCGCTGCTGCTGCTGCTGCTTCTCCTAGTACTCCTGTCCATCAGGTGTTTGTCGAATTGATTCCTTTTTTTTATCTTCAAATGTTTCCTTTTCTTCTCCAAGCATGGTTTTTGTTCACTTGTGATCTTGGCCTGTTGACGAGGAATGGAATTCATTTAGCCTGCTTCCAAAAAAATTGAGCTTTCTGCTGAAATTCTGATCTGGTGTCGTGTAGTGAAGAGAGTGATATAAGTTTTGCTTTTACTGGAAATCGTTGGACTTCACTTTTCATTGTTTAGCCTTTATGGTATGAATTTTGAAATGGTTTAGCCATATGGGCTATGGCTATCAAAACATTCAAAACCCAATTTGTTTATTTGTGGTAAAACACCTTGAGGAAATTTGCTGAAACCCACACGCTTTTTCATCCTTTGTAGCTAAATCATGCTCTCTGGCTTTTCTTAATATGGAGATTGAGTGAGTGAGTTGGTCTGTTTTGTTGTTCCTTAAACAGACTGAAGACTCGAGTGGGATTGTGGAAGAAGGCAACAATCATGGAAACTGGAAGAAGAGAAATCTATTTCTAGAGATACCTTCAAGAACAATGGAACCAACAACTCCACAAGGAGATAGTGTAGTGATTAAGATGCCACCAACACCTAGCCAAACTCCCAGGAAGGTCAATTTCAATTTGACCCCTAGTTCTGCTGATACAAGAGCAGCCACCACTAGTGCATCCCCAGCTCCCACTCCATCCAGGGGGAGGTCTTCTCTGAAGAGCCTGCTGCCTAAACTTAGCTTCAAGTCTCGAATTGCCATGTTGAATGCTGCTGATAAGCCGCCGGTCCATAATCTTCCACCGGAAGCTGCGACTCCACAGCAAGAAAAGCCCTCCATCCCAAGGTCACTGTCACTCACAAAGCTTTTCACTCCTAGGATGAAGAGGACATCGTCACTCCCAGTCACACCAATTGCACATTCTCAGCCGCATTGTGAAAGTGTCAGTGGCCCTCTCTATCCAAGTGTAAGTTCCTTGTTGATGTTGCTTGACTGGATTTCACAACTTGCTACTTATTATCATCTAAGGTCAGTCATTTCTGTATCCAGAGAGAAGCTCCACTTAGAAAGATTGCTCGATCACTCTCGGTCCCTGTCATCAACAAAGAAGGAAGCATACGGAGAGTGGATTCGTTCTTTCGTGTGATCCCTTCTACTCCTAGAGTGAAAGAATCAGGAGAGATACTAGCAGCTCATGCATCTTCCCCAAGTGTTTCTGCTGGTAAATATTTACAGTCTCACTCTCTGAAAGAACTCCCTTTTTAAACCATGCTGCATTTTCCTTCCTTTTGTACTTATGTTCATAGTTTTGTGGATTCAGAAACCATTGATGATGATGGAGAAGATATACCTGAAGAAGAAGCTGTTTGTAGAATTTGTCTGGTGGAACTCTGTGAAGGAGGGGAGACACTCAAGATGGAATGCAGTTGCAAAGGTGAAATGGCTTTGGCACACCAAGAATGTGCAGTCAAATGGTTTAGCATTAAGGGGAACAAGACTTGTGAAGTGTGCAAGCAAGAAGTCCTGAATTTGCCTGTTACCTTGTTACGAATACAAAGTGTACATAATGGTATCGCTGGATTAGGTAGAGGTCAACTAGGCGATCCCAATGGTTACAGGCAAGTAAAAAAGCTTCCGTTTAGTTTAAGTTTTTGTCACATCACTTGGTTGAGACTAACTAGTTGTACCACAACAGGGTTTGGCAAGAAGTACCAGTGCTGGTCATTGTTAGCATGCTAGCCTACTTTTGTTTCCTGGAGCAGCTTCTGGTTAGTGAATTGGAAGAACAAAAGTTCTCGTCCACCTCAATTTGATTGAAGTTCTGCTGCTTTTTTCCACCTCTATCCTAATATGCTTGTCTTCTATTTCTAGGTGGGGAATATGGGAACTGGTGCAATTGCTCTATCCCTTCCATTTTCTTGTGTGTTGGGTCTCCTATCGTCCATGATCTCTTCAACAATGGGTAGGCTTGATTCATTCTTGACTAGATTAATGGAATTGAAGACAATTAGAAGAAAAAAATAAAAACTAGGATAACATCTTGCTGTGGATTCTTTCACCTTACCCTCTAGTGTCTCTTATGTGCAGTGAAGAGACAATTCGTTTGGGTTTATGCGTCAATACAATTTGCTTTGGTTGTTATCTTTGCTCACATTTTTTACTCATTGGTAAGCAAACCTCTCTTCATGCTATTTGCAAAGAAAGCAGCAGTAGATAAGGTTGGATTAGGTAGTTGTATGCGTCAATACAACTGAACTATTTATGTTTTTCGTGGTGCTAATAAGGTTGGAGTGCAAGCTGTTCTGTCAATCCTGCTGGCAACATTTGCTGGGTTTGGAGTGTCTATGAGTGGAAGTTCGATCATAATCGAGTTCATGAGGTGGAGAAGAAGATGGCGACGGAATGGAGGATCAGAACAACAGCTTGGAAACAATCTGATGGCAGGAAGAGTTCCAAGACCCGTGAATTCATCTGCACTAGGCCCTCCTGCAGCTGCTACTACTGCTGCTGCTGGTGTTGATGCAGGGGAAGGAAACCGCCATACAATAAATGATGTAGAAAACCCATAAACCTTTAAGTCTGGTGGTGGGAAAAGAGGTTAAAGGAAGAGCTTGTGAGTGTGTTATATGAGAAGATAGGAGCAAGTTTCTCCCTTTTCCCCCTCTCTTTTTGGCAATATAGAGTGATTAGATTATTGCAGCTCCAAAGGTGGCATTTTGGTATGATGGAGGAAAGGAAGAATGATGTTTGTTGTGAAGTGGGAAGAGTGGATAGTTGAGTGTCCACCTTTCAATGTGAGTAGTAATTATTACATTTGGATTGAAGTTGAAACTTGTGCCTTCCAATATGTGATGTTGCTGCAAATACAAAAGAAAGAATGGCACATTTGCCCATTTCTTCTGTTGCTCATTTTGCATTACTGTTTTCCTTGGGGTTACAACTTACAATTGAGGGTGGTTCTCAACTCTCAAGTGGTAGTACGCTAGCTTCGAGATCAGACTATCAACGACGTCACTGGAGAGTTGCTTCGTTATTACGTTCATCTCCAACGAGACCTAATGACGATGTGATTGTCCTTACTTCAATACGTGATCATGAACATTTGGAAATTTGATCTTAGAAAGTAAACTTTTTTTTTGTTGTTGGTAAAATTAGAAAGAAAACTTTCAGTATGGAAAGTTGGGGGATTGGCGCAAAAAAATGTTCAAACCTAGTGCGAAAAATAGCTACGGGTAACCTTCGCAAGAGCCTAATGTTTGTTTGGGCTAAGATTGAGACAAAATATTATATCTCGTGGGCTATGAAGAGTTGGGCCAACGTAGCCCAGGCCTTTGCAGTTGTCACTCAGCGGGAGATTAGGCGCGTTCTGTGCACTGATTACCGCGCGGATAGACAGCAGCAACCATGGCGGGTTACTGCTAAACTATAGACTAGGGCTCCAACTTGTCCGGAGAACAAATCGAGGGCGGCGGAGTAGGAAAAAGAGCATGATTGTTCCGGCGAGAATCGCCGGCAAGCTTCCCCTTCTCGTCTCTTCTTCCCGCTCTTCAATTAGAGGTGCTCTTTAATCACAATCGTCAGTCCACTTTCTCTCTCTAGCTCTCCTCATTTTGACTTCCTCCACTGCTTCTCTGTTTCTCATTTCGCGGCTCCCGCTCGTTCCACTTTCGTTTCAGCAGCTGGGTTACCCAGAATCGGGATTTTGAGGAATCCGAACCAGAGAAGGAGATTGGTTTCTGGGTCCGCAAAGATGATGGCTTTGAGCAGCTTGGAGAGCTGTAATGCGGAGGTGATTGAAGTTGAGAACTCGCTCGGCGCCGTCCGGCCTGCCGCGGAAGATTATGCAGAAGAGGCTGTTCAAGCTCTCAGAGACGGCAAGGTCATAGCTTTGCCCACTGATACTCTCTATGGTTTTGCTTGTGATGCTTGGTAAGCTTCTAGTTTCTTCTTTCGCTTCTGCCAGACTGGGATTTGCTGTCTTGTGAACTTGGTTTAGTTGAAGGGTAGGGAATTGAATTTGATTGCCTTTATTGGCTCGCTCCATTGGGGAAATTCATGTTTCCTTGTCCTCTTTGAATTGAACACATCACTGCTTTGGAGGGGAAAGGCTCTAATTGGTGTTGAAGCGTTGCTGATCCAAAAAGATACTTGTTTTTCATGACAGTTCTTCAGAAGCAGTGAATAGGATTTATGACATCAAAGGTCGCAAGCACACGAGTCCACTTGCAATCTGTGTTGGGGATGTATCAGACATAGAGCGGTTTGCAGTCACTGACCACCTGCCTTCTGGCTTACTGGACTCCTTACTTCCTGGGCCTGTCACTGTAATACTGAGTCGAGGTTGGTGGTTAATGTCTTCCATTCTTCATTTCCTTCAGTTTTGGTGTGGGATTCTGATGGGACCCCTTTTCATTCAGGAGCTTTAAGCGTGCTTGAAAAGTCTCTAAACCCGGGACTGGACAGCATTGGTGTCCGGGTGCCTGACTCTAACTTCATCAGGGCGGTATCTCGGGGTTTGGGAAGAGCGATAGCCCTAACCAGTGCTAACCTCAGTGGCCAGCCAAGTAGTGTTTGCATCAATGATTTCCAGAACTTGTGGCAGGAATGTGCCTTTGTGTACGATGGTGGTGTGCTTCCATCTGGACGTACTGGATCAACGATCGTAGACCTCACCCGAGCTGGAAAGTACAGGATTCTTAGACCTGGAAGGTGTGTATGGTGAAGAAAGATCCCCTTTTTTTACTCTTTAATGAAGAGAGTCTCTCAATTATAGCTCGTTTTGAGCATGTTTCTCCGATGCACATCCTGATTCATTACTACACTTCATTGTTTTATTGTTGTGCAGCGCAAAGGAAGAGACAGTTGCCATCATCGAAAAACATTCTTTAGTAGAGGATGAAGCTGTTAGCCAATGAAGGGGAGGGGGGAGTTACACAGAAATCACAAATCCGGTTTCAATGGCTCCTTACGCGCACAGAATCTCAGAGTGGTTACCATTCAATCATGTTATTCTCTTTCGAATGGTGGCATCTCGGTACAGAGCAACCAACCATGTGTCAAAGTTCAAGTCGGTGCTGATCTATCATTGATTTCATCACGAGTTTATTCGATCTTGAACCGTTAAATCTTCTTATTGGGTCCCGTTTCGAGGAGAGTTCTGCACTAGTTGTTAGACATGATATCATTATGGAAAAGTAGCATGTCGACAAAGAGGGAGGTTGTGGGATGGTAATGTTACTGCTGCTGCAATTGTATACTGCATGTGGGAATTGAGTAGCATGCCATGTTAGACTTGTGTTTCTCGTTCTGAGTTTGTAGTAGCATTATAATAACCCACATGCCGGATTGGACCCGAAATCAACAGGTTGATTTTGTGTACGGCTGCAACGAAAAAAACCCATGAATGAACCAAAACCAGATCTTATTTTGCTTGCTGTATACAAATTCAGGAATGGTCACTGGCGGGAGCAGCCATAGGAGACCTGGTGGCTTGAAATTGAATAAAATAGAACGGGAGAACTTCAATAGTACAGTATGTTAACAAAATAATAATAATAATAATAATACTGATAAAATTCTAGGGGGGAATGAAAATATAATACTGAATAAGAAATGGGGTTAATCAAAACCAGATCTTATATTACATTATATTATCTTCTTGACTAGTGTGTTTGTAATGATGTTAATAATTGTTTAATTAATGTAATAATGAGATGATTTGGGATGTTAATTAAAACCATGCTGAGTTTCTAGTCAAACCGATTGGGAGACGAGGGGTTGGTGAAGGTGGCGGAGTGAGTTTGCCCTTTGGTATCTCAGAGTGCAACAATTGGGGATTACAGTGGATGGGATTGGATCGAATTTCTCCAAATCACAATCCAATCCAACGAGTATTTGAGAGTGCATGAATATTCATACATTGACGAACATAACCACAAATACTTTCTCGACATCAGCATTCTTATATTATAAAATAAAATTTCCTACAACTATACAATAAGAAATTGTTCAAAATTTGCCGCCATAATATCCACAACAAGGAGTTGCATAATTTTTAGGTTTATAGTGCTCCCCATTCATTTCATATAATTTGCAGCATAATTTGACAGGAAGGTGTGGATTCATTGCATTTGTAATCTTGTACGACTCAGAATGAGTTCCCCAAAAGAACAGGATCGAGGATTAAATTATCCCGAAATCTTGCTTGGGAAATGACGGATTGTGTCATCTAATATTAGTATTACCCCAGAATTAATCCCTTAAAAAATGAGAGAAACAATAAAATATTTGAGCAGCCATTGAATATTCTAATTTTCCACGGCCAGCCAGCGGCTGATGCTGCAGGAAGATGCTTGGCAATCCAATTTTGTCAGCTTCTTCTTCTTCCGTCCGTCCCTCCTCTTCCTTCCTCAAATCCACAACAGCACTTCCCGTTTCACTTTCACTTCCCCAAATATATACCCAAATTGAAAGCCCCACAACAATGCTCGCAATCTGAATTTCCCCCCTCTCACATTCATCGCCATTACCAGACACACGCCACAACTTCCATAACCACCACTACTCCCACCCTGTTCGTCACCCTTCTTCCCTTTTTCGCTCTCCAGGCTTCCCGTCTCCAAATTCTCTTCACCTGAGGTAAAAAGCTCGGTTCTTTTCGGTTTTAAGCAACTGGGTTTGGTTTGTTTCAATCCGTTTCATCAGCATAATTTTTGGGTTCTGGTGTTTTTCAAGTGTTGGAAGCTGACTGATGATTGGGTTTTGATTGTTATGTGACAGAGTGAGAAGAAGGCTCTGTGGAAATGGCGACTGGAGCTGTGCCGGCCTCGTTTACTGGCCTCAAGACTGGGGACACAAGATTGGGGTTTTCTAAGAACATGGACTTTGTGAGGATCTCTGATGGCAGGAGGATCAAGTCCGGTAGGAGAAAGATCTCCATGATCAAAAACTCTGCCGTCGAACTTCAGCCTGCATCCGAAGGCAGTCCTTTGCTTGGTAAGAGATGCCAACCGTGAACTAATCTAAGGGATTGTTCAATCGATTTCATGTTGTGTGATTGATGGTTGTTGTTTGTTTTAATCTAGTTCCGAGGCAAAAGTACTGTGAATCAATAAACAAGACTGTTAGGAGGAAAACCAGCACAGTGATGGTTGGAAATGTGCCGCTTGGAAGTGATCACCCCATTAGGATTCAGACCATGACCACAACTGACACCAAGGATGTTGCTGCAACTGTTGAACAAGTGTGTTTTCTCCCCTCTTTTCTCCAGGCTTCCGATTCTTTGAGCTAATTCAGTTGATTTACAAAAAAATTGACGTGTTTTGATGTGGTAGGTGATGAAAATTGCCGATCAAGGGGCTGATATCGTTAGAATAACAGTTCAAGGGAAGAGAGAAGCAGATGCCTGCTTTGATATCAAGAACACTCTTGTGCAGAAGAAGTGAGTTGAGAAAAGAAATGACAATCTGCTCTTTATTTTTGCGTGGTACTCAGCATTCTGGATCGACCTTGTTGCTAATCTTTTTTCTTTTGCAGTTACAACATACCTCTTGTGGCAGATATTCATTTCGCCCCATCTGTTGCATTGCGCATAGCAGAATGCTTTGATAAGATTCGCGTCAACCCTGGAAACTTTGGTATGTGTATATTTTTGTTTTCGTAATCTTCTACATATCTAGTGGATATTTTTAATCAAACAGAGAGTGGTTGATTGCAGCTGATAGGCGTGCTCAGTTTGAGCAGCTAGAGTACACAGAGGATGATTATCAGAAAGAACTTGAGCACATTGAGCAGGTAAAAATCCATTATTGTATAGCAGATTCACTCCTTAGTTTACATTCATTCGTAAGCATTAATTCACTTATGATTATGTTCTCACGTTGGGCTTCTCTGCATCAGGTTTTTACTCCATTGGTGGAGAAATGTAAGAAGTATGGTAGAGCAATGCGTATCGGGACAAACCATGGAAGTCTTTCAGATCGTATAATGAGCTACTATGGTGATTCCCCTCAGGGAATGGTAAGACTTTCCTTCTTTCACATATCATCATCCTAGAACTTATTTTTGTTACTTAAATGGCGTCCAGACTCAATCTACTTGCTTTGCTTTTAACAGGTAGAATCTGCATTTGAGTTTGCAAGGATATGCAGAAAGTTGGATTTCCATAATTTTGTCTTTTCCATGAAAGCAAGCAACCCAGTTATCATGGTCCAGGCATACCGTCGGCTTGTCGCTGAAATGAATGCCCTAGGTTGGGATTATCCTTTGCATTTAGGTGTCACTGAAGCAGGAGAAGGTGAGGATGGAAGGATGAAATCCGCTATTGGAATTGGGACTCTTCTTCAGGTACATTGCCAAATCCAAGCCTTCTGATGTATTGTATTGTATGCCACTAGATATTCCAGTTCATTGAATCTCTAATTAAGTATGTTGGATGTGCAGGATGGTTTGGGTGACACGATTAGAGTTTCACTAACAGAAGCACCAGAGAAGGAGATCGATCCTTGCAAAAGGTTGGCTAACCTTGGTATGAAGGCTGCAGAACTTCAGCAAGGAGTGGTATGAATCTATCACATATGATATGAGACTTGCTCATATATGAAAAACCTCAGCAACTGATTCTCAATGGAATCTATTTTAATACAGGAACCATTTGAAGAGAAACACAGGAGATACTTCGAGTTCCAGCGCCGGACTGGTCAATTGCCAGTACAGAAGGAGGTCAGTAGCAAATCTAAACACACACATAACGCAATCATAAGTCTGGGTACTGTATTTTGCATTGTCTTGTCATTTCTGACTCTCCAATATTCTTACAGGGTGAGGAAGTTGATTACAGAGGTGCTCTGCATCGTGATGGGTCTGTTCTAATGTCTGTTTCCCTTGACCAGTTAAAGGTAACACCTGAACAGCTTTAACCCTTTTAGAGATATTATCCCGTTGATGGATCAGTTTCACTCAGCAACTTGTAAAAAATTTACAGGCACCTGAACTCCTTTACAAGTCGCTCGCAGCAAAGCTCATTGTTGGAATGCCTTTCAAGGTTATTTTCTTAGTTAATATTTATGGCAATGGAAAATTCATTGAAGCCTATGTTTCTCATTCATTTCTATTTACTGACGAAGAATATTATCTATTCAGGATCTTGCCACGGTTGACTCGATCTTGTTGAGAGAACTTCCTCCAGTGGACGATACTGATGCTGTAAGCTACTGATCTCTTTGTTATTACTGATTATGAGTTTCTACTGCTCTTTCTATTTGGAAATATCAAACTGACATGATCTTCTATACTTTTTTTTTTAACAGCGTTTGGCTCTCAAAAGGTTGATAGATATCAGCATGGGTGTTATTACCCCATTGTCCGAGCAGCTGACAAAGCCGCTGCCCAATGCAATGGTGCTTGTCAATCTTAAGGAGTTGGCCACTGGTGCATACAAGCTTTTGCCTGAAGGTGATTGCATTCTTTTCCCCTTTCTTTGATGATTGGTTAATATTTTTTTCGCCACCAAAAAGACATAGCTTTCCCAAATTGGCCTGGTTTCGCTAATTCAGTGGATAACATGATGTGATGAATGTTACATTTCAGGCACTAGATTGGTCATCTCGGTTCGGGGGGACGAGCCTTATGATGAATTGGAAATCTTGAAGGACGTTGATGCCACAATGATCCTCCATGGTCTACCATATGGAGAAGATAAGGTCGGCAGGGTTCAGGCAGCAAGAAGGTAAATTTTCATATTAAGTTTGAAGAATCAATTATTGACTGCGTGCTTGTTCAGAGTATTGCGTGGTCTCAAGTAGAGTTGTGACACTTTGCTATATACTGATGTTGCAGGTTGTTTGAGTACCTACAAGTAAATGCTCTGGATTTCCCTGTTATTCACCATATCCAGTTTCCATCTGGCGTTCACAGGTAAAAGCCAAGTTTCTGATGCTGTTAGTCGCGAAAGATATGCAAATAAACAATAAAGCTTCCTACTTTGAGGTGATTAATCTATTTTCTATTTGTAGAGATGACTTGGTAATCCATGCTGGAGCAAATGCTGGAGCTCTTCTGGTAGATGGTCTAGGAGACGGTATCCTTGTCGAAGCAGCAGACCAGGACTTTGATTTCCTGAGGAACACTTCCTTCAACTTACTACAAGGTTGCAGAATGAGGAACACAAAAACAGTAAGAATAATCTCAACTCATACAATTGAACACCAAATCCAATATTGAATAGGTGGCAACAAATACTCCTTTTTACTCCTTTACTTTAACATCCAAACTTGTGGTTTCTTCAGGAGTACGTCTCGTGCCCATCCTGTGGTAGAACCTTGTTTGATCTTCAAGAAATAAGTGCAGAGATCCGCGAGAAGACCTCACACTTACCTGGTGTCTCGGTACGCATCCACTGCTGTGTCTACTCATTGCCTCATAAAGCCGACCAAATTATCAGCAAAACTGAAATAAGTCTTATTTGTTTCACAGATTGCAATCATGGGTTGCATTGTGAATGGACCTGGAGAGATGGCTGATGCAGATTTCGGATACGTTGGTGGTGCTCCAGGGAAGATTGACCTTTATGTTGGCAAGGTAGCCACCCAACCACTTCTCTCCTCTCATACTTCCATCCTATACCTTTCTCTTGAATCCTAACTGGATTTGGATTTTGAGCTAATGAACTATTATTCTGACATTTGCAGAATGTGGTGAGAAGAGCGATACAGATGGAGCATGCTACCGACGCTTTGATTGATCTGATCAAAGAACACGGACGATGGGTGGATCCTCCCAAGGAAGAGTAAAGATAGAAGACACTACTACTACTACACTGCTTCAGTTGGTTTGAGCGATGGGGGCAAAGAATAAAATAAACAGCAATGATCAGGAGATGGAGGGAAGAAGAGTTGTTTCATCATTATTTTAGGCTTTTGCAGTTGTTGTAGTGTAGAATGTAAATTTAAGGGCTACACAAATCATTTGATGTCTCTCTTATCTGTGTGTCTTGGGGATGGAGGGAAGATGTATGAGAAAAGGAGAGAGCTTTTCTTGGACAATGTTGAGAAAGCTTTCTTCTTTGAATTCCTGTGGTAATCTTAACTTCATTTACACGTTCTATAGAATTTGACCCCAAAAGGGTAGAAGAGAAGGGAAGAAAGTTTCTGCATTCTATTCTACCTTCTCCGGTGGTCAACGGAAATGGACATATAAAAAAACGGTAAATGCCACATTTAGTCACTGAAATTACTAAATTGTGTCATGTTTAGTCACTCAAAAAATTTAATATCAATTTGGGTCACTTAAATTACCGAAACAGGTCACATTTAGTCACTCACCCGTCAGTTTCCGTCCAAATTCATTAATGGAGTTGGACGGAAACTAATCGGAGAGTGACTAAATGTGACATGTTCCAATAATTCGAATGACTAAATGTGACATGTTTCAGTAATTCGAGTGACCGGAGTTGGACGGAGGCTAATGGGAGAGTGACTAAATGTAATCTGTTTCAGTAATTCGACTGACCAAAATTGATATTAAATTTTTCTAGTGGCTAAACATGACACGATTTAGTAATCTCAGTGACCAAATATAAGATTTAAAAAAAAAAAAAAGCAACACGAAGCAGAGCATATTCAACGGTCAATAACCACCAAAAAGAAAAACAAACTCTCCAAAATTTCTCCGCTAACAAACCTATCACAGGCCCATGGAGAGGGGGGGCTTTGGGTCCCGAAGACCCTTTCATCGCATAGAAAATTCAAATGTTTCATTGCAATAAATTTTCAATCTTTTGTGACAGCGAAATCCTAATCAAAGGAAGAAACAAACAAACAATGGAGGAAGAAGATGAAGGGGAAGCATCCTCTATTGACCACCATTAGCGCCTTCCCTCCCTTTCTCTCTCTCTCTCTCTCTCTCTTCTCCCTACCATCTTTCATCATCATCACCATAGCACACTTTGCCAATGTCATCTAATATTAGTATTACCCCAGAAATAATCCCTTAAAAAATGAGAGAAACAGTAAACTATTTGGGCAGCCATTGAATATTCTAATTTTCCACGGCCAGCCAGCGACTGATGCTGCAGGCAGATGCTTGGCAATCCAATTTTGTCAGCTTATTCTTCTTCCGTCCGTCCGTCCCTCCTCTTCCTTCCTCAAATCCACAACAGCACTTCCCGTTTCACTTTCACTTCCTGTGCTATAAATCATTTTGTCTAGAGTTAAGTAGGGTTTCTTTGGAATACAAATCTTTTCCCCTGCCCACCGGGCAACAAGAAGGAGCAAGAGCAAGATTGTCATTATTATCCCCTCAAGTTGCTATCTTTGTTTCATTTGCTTTCATGGGTAGGGATTGAATTTGCTTAAAGATCATTACCCAGTTGAGGAGGAAAGGGGGAAAAAAGGCACTTATGGGGAATTGCTTGATGCAGCCGGCCAAGTTGGCTCATGCTTCCTCTATTACTTTTTCTTCTTCTGGTTAGTGCAGACCTGGTCTTTCTTTTTCTTTGGTGTCCTTCTTTTTGGAAAGTTGCATGAACTTTGCGGAATTGAAGTTCTCTGTTGCTGGTTTCTTGCAGTAGTTGACTTGGAATTCCATAATTGTGAGTTTGGATGCTTGTTTTTTGATTCCTATGCTTGCATGTCTGGTGTCTTGATTAAATACTGCATGATGGTTTGGATGAATTGCAACTTTTAGCTTGAGGTTCCCAAAATGAATCTTCTGGTCTCATCATAAAGGTTTACACTTTCTGCTTACTTTGGAGAATCATTGAGAAGGCTTATTGCTAATGCAAGTGCTCACTTTTGTATGTTTTCCCCTATTTTATAAGAAGCCTCTTCAAAGATGGAAACTGTCTGCAATAAAAGTCAGGTGTAATTTTAGTAGTGGACAAAGTAAAAATGGATACTTTCTTATACCTGGTCTGAAATTCTTCCTGAACGCACTTTGCCTATATGAAGAATGGTTCTTTTGACATGTTATCCATTATTGTGGAATTGCAGAAATCGGAAAGTCTCAGGATGATGTCAAGCAAGATGCCAATAACGATTCCAAACGGGTGCCAATGGAAAGCCTCAACAAGTCGTTGATAGCATCCAAGTTCGATGCATCTGTTCCCAGCAGTCTCAAGGCTTTCAGCTTCAATGATCTAAGGAATGCCACCAAGAACTTCAAGTCTGAAACGTTGCTTGGAGAAGGAGGTTTTGGTTGTGTCTTTAAAGGGTGGATTGATCAGAACACTTTCGCACCTGCTAAACCGGGAACTGGAGTTGTTGTGGCAATCAAGAAGCTCAAGACAGAGAGCTTTCAGGGCCACAAGGAGTGGCTGGTAAGTGTATTCTGCTACATCCCCATGTTTTTCTTTTCTTAACCTTGCAAAATCTTGATTAAGTAAAAATGATTTGATTCCTTCTGTTCCTTTTGTTTCTATTTGGCAGACTGAAGTTTACTATCTGGGAACACTTTATCATGAGAATCTAGTTAAATTGGTGGGCTATTGTGCTGAATCCGATAATAGGCTGCTAGTTTATGAGTTTATGCCTAAGGGGAGCTTGGAGAACCATTTATTTAGAAGTACGTATGATTCTCTCTGTTAGCATCCAAAATTTATGCTGTCTTTTGGTTTCTCTTGGTGACATACTTCAGAATGTTAACAGCAGATCTCTTTCTTTCTGCAGAAGGTGTACAGCCAATGGCTTGGGTTACAAGGATGCAAATTGCACTTGATGTGGCGAGAGGATTGTCCTTCTTACACGGATTAAGTGCCAATGTAATCTATCGTGATCTCAAGGCATCAAATATTCTACTTGATTCGGTACGCCATACAACCCTTGAAAATATTACTCTTGGTCAATCGTGAATGCTGCTGCCCATATGATTCTGTAAACTGAACAAACTGGTGGGAAAACTTTCCTGCAGGACTTCAATGCTAAGCTCTCTGACTTTGGCTTAGCCCGCGATGGCCCAACTGGCGATAACACTCATGTTTCAACTAGAGTAGTGGGAACTCGTGGTTATGCTGCACCAGAATATGTAGCTACAGGTTTGTAAGGTTTTGCTTATAAGTTAATGCAGAGAAGTAAAATAAATGTAATCTAACAACCTGTTATGTACTCTACTGGGAATGACAAATCAGGGCACTTGACTCCAAAGAGTGATGTGTACAGCTTTGGAGTGGTGTTGTTGGAGTTGCTATCCGGGAGAAGGGCAATGGACGACGATAGAGTTGGTTCGGTAGATGAGACGTTGGTGGACTGGGCGAGGCCTTTCCTGATGGACACCAGGCGGGTCCTAAGAATCATGGATACCCGATTAGGCGGGCAGTACTCCAAGAAAGGAGCACAAGCTGCAGCTGCACTTGCACTGCAATGCCTGCACACAGACCCTAAGTATCGGCCTCCAATGGTTGAGGTTAAGGCCACATTGGAGAACCTCAACAACCCTAAGATCGCACCAGCCACCCCTCCTACCCAAGCCAGTTACGGTAGCAGCAAACATATGAACAACTCTCAAAGAACGCCATCCAGAGTGGGGAATTCCTCTTGAGAACTGTAGGGCCTTCTCTCTTTTTTCTTTCCTTATACCATGTATGCTTTTAGAACCAAGTAGTTTTGCAGAATGGAGTATATAGTTTAGGGAGTTGTGAACATTAGGCTGGAGGTAGAGATGCTGCAGCTCAATGATCAATACTTGTCTTGGTCTGTTTTTCCTTCTTTCCTATCACAAGTGGAAGATCAATGTGTATAATCTTGTATCTTGATGTCCCCCTTTTTCGTTAAATATTTATTGGTGTGTGGTTTAGGAAGGGGAGAGGGAATAATACGTAAATGTATATGCATCAGAATCTATATGTTGCCAGGGAGTTGTTTGGAGGAAAGCTTTGATGTCTGTTTTGCAAGAACAAGGAAGAAACTGAAAGGCGGGGTTGGAAGTATAGTTGTAAGTTGCAACGATGTGCAATAGGGTCGTAATTCGATCACGATCCATTCTCCGCGATTCATAGTGTCATTAGATGTACGTGATGGTAGTTTTTAGATTATTATTGTGTGCAACCAACACCTCTGGATCGTTAAGCTTGAGCCTAACAACTTGTAAATACAATAGCCAATCCAAATGAAATAAGCTACATTATTAATGTTTTCTTTGGATCAACAACTACGGATTATCTACGAATCACCATATTGTGTGCAACCAACACCTCTGGATCGTTAAGCTTGAGCCTAACAACTTGTAAATACAATAGCCAATCCAAATGAAATAAGCTACATTATTAATGTTTTCTTTGGATCAACAACTACGGATTATCTACGAATCACCATGACGAAAAGAAATCTCTTACCTCATCCATATTTTAAAATGATAATTGTAACATTCAACGACGAAACTATACAATTACGATAGGACACAAGAATTGAACTTACGAACTGTCGATGCAAACATCACCTTATCCATGACCATGAGCCAAACCTCATTCATGAATTTGGATATAGACAAAAATCAAAACCAAGAAATAAACAGCAAAAACTGAAAGCAAACGAATAGCAGGTTTGTAAAGTTTTAACCTAAAACAGACTAAAACGGGGGAACCAAAACAGCGGCAGCCCATAACCCAAAACAGGCCCACCAGGCCCACAGGAAACAGACGAAATATCGTTATCGACAGCCTTCCCTTTTTTCTCCACCCTTTTTCTTCTTCTTCTTCTTCTTCTTCTTCCCTCCCTTTCTCCCCGGCTCTGCTCTCCTCCGCCGCTCATCGTTGTCGCACGCTAGGAATCAAACCAATTCCACCCCGCCGTCGAACCTACGTCTCAGCAGCTTTTTACCCTACTAGCCCCTCCAAAATCGCCGCAATTACAGATCAAACACCATTACCCCAATCAACCTTCTTCCTCTCGATTTTCCACCCCTAGGGTTTCCCCCTTTCTTCTGCCTTAAATCTCGAATTCTGTCTATTTGTCCACTGCGGCATTCCGACTTGGATCTCGAGGGGGGGAATTTCCCAGTTCCCGAACTGTTCTCTTCCTTCGTTTATCTTTTTTGATTGCTCAGAAACTTCTACTTTTGAAGTGGGCGGAAAGCGAAAGGGCTGTCTGCCTGATATTTACAACCGTTGCCGTCGGCGTCATTAGACGTAAGAGATGTTATCTTTTGATGGGGTTACGCCAAAATTTTTAATTTCTTCCCGTGCTCGATGACCTCATGGTAGTGTGCTTTGTTGTTAAACTAATGTTCCTTATTTGAATTCAGGCGATCGAGAGCTTTGCTTATTTTGGTTGTTTCCTTGGGGCTGGCAACGGGTCAACGTGTTGATGGTGCTGAGGTGTTCTAAGATTGAGTGCATATAGAAGCAAACTCGAGCTACAAGGATGTTTGGTTGCAATTCTGGCATCTTTAACATCGTAAGCTTTTCATTCCATTTAGCTGAATGGCACCCTTTGGAATAAAGGAGCCAAATTAAGGCGTGCGAGCCAGCTGCCTATTCCCGTCCCTGTGTGCATTTTCAGGTTTGAAGTTGTTCCCTCTTTCGTCCCTTCTGAACTTGTTGGTCGGGGTACTGTCTGTGAGTTCAGTGATGGTTGCTGGTTGATAAGAGAGATACTGGTGTATGCTGTGTTTCATTTCATTTGAGTTTTCTTCTGGTTTCAGGATTAGGAACTCGGTTTTCTTCTGCTGTTGAGAATTTTGTGAGTACTTAGATGTTTCTGGATTCGATGTTCCGGAAGAGCTATTCTCTTGCTCGAGCAATTGGCTGTTGTAGCTGTTTTGGGTTCATAAGGAGAACCAAGCGAAAACCGAGGCATGTTCCTGTGAGCAATCCCAACCTATCTCAGGAATTTTTGTTAGATGAAGAGATTGATGTCGAGGACAATGGCTCATACAATGGGGAAATTACAGACTCTGTATATGGAGATGATGGAATGGTGCCATGCTGTACCAATCGGTCTGAAGATATACTAAAATTTAAAGAACTAAACGGAATGGTTTGCAGGCAATTTCCTGTCAAGGAGACACGGACACTAGTTCGTTCAGAGGTATGAATTAGGATAACTTAGTATGTGCCACTGTCATGTATTTATGTGTTCCCTTCATGGAGCAGCCTGCTTGCTAGTATAGTGTAACAAAGCTTTTGATTTCATGATATGGGTAGGAAGTTTTTAATTCCTTTTTATGTCACTAAGTGGATTGCCTACCCTTTATCCGTGTACTGCATCGGTTTAATTCTAACCTACTTATTGTATGATGTCCTCCATTTAAGGCTATAATGGATAGTGGAAATTTTGTTTTTGTGAAATTATAGCACTATTAAACTTAGCTACATGTCCATATGATTTGTTTCTGATGTTCCAATTTAGCTTTAGCATTAATGAGACTATTGTTTCATATCTAGAATTCTCTCTCAAACGGTGCACATTTACTATGAAATTGTCTCAGGATGAAAATGGGAATAAAATGATCAATGAGTATGTTCGTGAATGCAAAATTGGTGCTGGTAGCTATGGTAAAGTGGTAAGTGTGCATCTCAGACAGTCCATGTCAAATCATCATCTTAAAATAAGATGGTCTTAACATGTTGGCCGGAAAGCTAAAGATGCAATGTCTTCTATGGATCAGGTTTTGTACCGAAGCAGTATAGATGGAAAGAACTATGCAATAAAGGTACGATACTGCTAATGCTACCTTCTTTCTGTAGATAGCATACTGTAATGCTGTTTAGTTAAATTCTGTTGAGGTCTCTTCTTAATTAACCAAGTGACATCAAACTGGAGTGCATGATTTATAAAGAATGAAATTGTGTGGTCTTTTATATGTCATTATCAGTTATTCATGAAATTAGATACCTTTTCTTCTGGATTGCAGTCATTCCACAAGTCTCATCTTTTGAAGCTGCGAGTTGCACCCTCTGAGACAGCAATGTCTGATGTTCTTCGAGAGGTACCTTTCAGTGTTTTGGCAGGTGCCTTCCAGTGTTATGACAAACTAAATTCTTAATGGTCCTAGCTTTGTTTTTTACTTGCAGGTTCTGATCATGAAGCTGTTGGAACATCCCAATATAGTCAATCTCATTGAGGTGATTGATGACCCAAACACAGATCACTTCTACATGGGTATTCACTTTTTTTTGCTTCCCCCCTCCCTTATTGCAGCATGCTGATCTTTGGTGCACCTGTTCATATCTCCTGGTTTTGGATAAAATGTATATTTATGATGGTTTTTCATCGTGTTTCCATTGCTGAAATTTATATGGTCTGTTGTACCAGTTCTTGAATATGTTGATGGGAAGTGGGTCTGGGAAGGCTGTGGCCCTCCTGGCGGCATCGGAGAACATACTACTAGGAAATATTTGCGAAATATTGTTTATGGACTGATGTATCTCCACGCCCATGTAAGACCCTTTTAGCCTGAATTTTTGCTCATATTATTGTGGTTATATGATGGTTATTACATTTTGGATGGGCATCAATCTGTCTGCCTTCTTCGTATATGACTATGGCATTGTTTGTTTTTTGGGGCAACCTCTCTAGTATTTCTCGATTCTCCAGAGCTTGTCGATAGGTCATTAATATTGCACCTTGGAATGCATGTTATTTGACTTTTGTTTAATTTCTCTTCTTTTGATCTTATTACAGAATATAGTACATGGTGATATCAAACCAGATAACTTATTGGTTACCAGCACTGGAGTAGTTAAAATTGGAGATTTTAGTGTGAGCCAAGTATTTGAGGTAAATCAGCAACTCTCTATTCATGGTTGAAATCTTTTTTTACTTCTGAAAGCTGTGCGAATCAGTAAGCATAAGTAGTTTATAGCTATTTATCGATTCATTGATGTCCAATCAGTAAATTGTCTACCAAACAGTGTTCTTGTAGTATTGACCAAATGGTAGATAATCATAATGTAATATGTTTTTTTTTTTATTATTGTTAAACCATATCAGAAGCTTTCCCAATTCAGCTTCCTCTGTCTGGTCCTGGTAGGGACGAACTTGAGGTCATGGTTGAAATTTTGCCGAGTACCAACTTACTAAGAGACGGTGCAATTGAACCCTTAATTGCATTTCATCGATTTTAACGTTAGTTTTGTAGGCCAGAAGGGCGCCATAAGTTTCTCGTTTTATCATCACTTTACTTTTGTTGCCAACTCCATTTTGGTTCCAGAAAGTTGTGACCTTTCAGGAAGCATTCCTACGCCTTGCAGTTTTTACCCTTTAATTTGTGGTTGTGCTACTGTAATCTAATTATATGCTAGTACAACACTTGTGGATACATGGCATTGATACCATCTTTACCACAAATGCAGGATGATAATGATGAACTCCGCAGGTCTCCTGGGACCCCGGTGTTCACTGCACCGGAATGCTGTCTAGGTGAGAGTTTGCAACTTGGATGATGTTTAGTGAGGATATTAACATTCTTTAACAACTGTCGCTGCTACATCCTACAGGTTTAACATACCATGGCAAATTGGCAGACACTTGGGCAGTTGGAGTAACGTTATACTGCATGATACTGGGACAGTACCCTTTTCTTGGAGAAACACTGCAGGACACATATGACAAGGCAAGCGAGCAATTGGTCTTTTTTCATATCTTCGTCCGTCACAAGTATGTTTTAACTAACAGTTTTGGGTTTCTTTTCCTTTTTAGATCGTCCATAACCCCTTAGTGCTTCCTAATAGAATGAATCCTCAGCTAAAGGACTTACTCGAAGGGCTTCTTTGTAAAGGTGAGTTGAGAAAGCACCAAGTTCTCCTCTTCAACTGATCTTATGATCCTCCATAATCCATTGCCCTTTACTGATGCAATTGTTAATTGCATGTATAGACCCCAAACAAAGGCTGACTTTGGACGCTGTATCGAACCATCCTTGGGTTGTCGGAGAAGACGGTCCTATCCCCGACTACTCGTGTTGGTGCAAACGTGCTAGGGCGGAGCGAGAAGAATGTTCTGACGGGAGCAGCAGCAGAGACAACAACAGCATCAGCGACGAATTTGCAGAGAATGAAGCCAACAACACAAACTCACATGACCTCCTTCACTGACTCAAAAGTTTCTGTCTCCAGCTTGCTTTTTTTCTTTCTTTCTTTTTTGAGTTCCTTTAGTGATATGGTATTTTATTGTGTCCTTAATGTACAGTGGAAGAACCTGTCGACTGTCCTTATGATCAAGGGATGAAAAGAGGAACTCTCTTATAATTTAAGAGTATAGAAGAAAGGTTGTGAAAGAAATAGCTGAATTTAAAAATGGCCTTTGGAAGTGTAGGGTCATGTGTTATGAAGATCTTATCTTGTAGTTGGTTGAAGATTAGGAATACAGAGTTTTCTTTGATAGTGTTGTGAAACCATAAGTCTGTTTATTTAGAAGAAATGACACTGAAATGGGGTTGCCCTTTTGTAACCCTTTTCTTCCCTTACATTCTTATCCTCTCCTTTAAGTTGAAATAAAGAGGTAGATATCAATGTTTTTGCAACCCTTTTGGCCGTCTTGTGATTATCTGACAATAGATCCAGTCGTTTCTCCAGGACTTTGATTTCCTGAGGAACACTTCTTTCAACTTACTACAAGGTTGCAGAATGAGGAACACAAAAACAGTAAGAATAATCTCAACTCTTACAATTGAAAACCAAATCCAATACTGACTAGGTGGCAACACAAATCATTTGATGTCTCTCTTATCTGTGTGGCCTGGGGATGGAGGGAAGATGTATGAGAAAAGGAGAGAGCTTTTCTTGGACAATGTTGAGAAAGCTTTCTTCTTTGAATTCCTGTGGTAATCTTAACTTCATTTAGTTATTACACGTTCTACAGAATTTGACCCCAAAAGGGAAGAAGAGAAATGGAAGAAAGTTGCAAACTACGTATTCTAAGTAAAGAATCCAAAGAAACTATTTTGATCTATTCCCCCTTACCTAGTAGCTAGGTAAAGGTCGTCAATACGCAATTTTGATTATTAGTTTGAGTTTGTTGACATATTCTTATGAACAATTTTGAAGAAAATTTGATGGAAAAAAGAATAAGTGATTGGTATCGTTAAATAATTCGAACTTCAAACGAGAAAATTTATTAGAAATCGAAGTTAAGTTAGCATTTTGTATGAAATCAAAGTTGAGTGACAGGTTTTGTAAATTAGCCCAAAATCAGGAGGAGTGGCCAATTGTTCATTAAGATGAAACTTCAGGTACCAACTGGTAAGAAAGACACAATTTAGTTATTTACTACAGATACAGAAGGAACTAGGAAAACGAGTTGGAGTCGGAGAACACATTAATTTATATCCCGAATCACGCCGCCGCCGCCGGGCTTTCAGTTTTGCCGTCTTCTCACAGCCTCGCCGCCGATCACGCCCTTTTATCTACTGGAGACCTAACTCTCACAAGGTTTTTCCTCTGTTTTACCTCAGTTCAATTTACTGATCGTTGATCTGAACAAAAAAGGGGAAATTCTTCCTCGCTGCTGTCACCGCTACCGATTCCTAACCGATCTTCATGCTGTCGATTCCTGCCGTGAGATGTTCGCAGAGCGAATTAAGCATTAATTAGCTTGTTCTCTCTTTCGTTTTCTTTTTTCTCGAATTTGGTACTGTTGATGTTAAAAGTATGTATCTTTTACTGATTCCCCGGGCTTGAATCGCAATCCAGGAACTGAGAATGGGGATCAGTAAAACCGAGATAGACTTGAGGAGGCTGGTCGACGCTGCCCCGCGGCAGCAAAATCAAGCCAAACTTGTGCATGTATGTTGTTCTCGTGCGCCTCTCTAACCTCAAGCGAACTGCCAATTGTTTCTTCATCTGTTACTGGAGTGGTTTCTTCACTAATTGTACGTTTGTGTTTGAGGAATTGGTACTTATGGTGTAGCTTTCTTGCAGTATGTTGCTAGTTTACGAGAACAATTGGAGAAGTTGGGTGCAGAAAGAACTCCAGATGGTTTGCCTAGGTCAGTATGGAATGGTTGCTTCAGCTATTTCAGTTGAGCTTTTTTCAATCGGAGGAAACTGGCTGTGATAAAAAAAAAAAGAGAGGAGGATAAATTAGTCCGATCTTTCGGGGTTGCTTCTTCTTTTGTACTGCTGAATTGGGTTCGCATTCGATGCTTGATTTGATCCTGGTTCCATCCAGTTACGAGAATTGCTATTCCGTTTGCAGCTTTCCTGTGACAGATGCTCTTATTTCTGAGCTAGTATTATGAGATCTCTGAGTCTTGCTTTCTGTCATTCCTTGTGTGTAGGGTGTCCAAGGTTAACGTGAATGAATATTCAGACAAAATTGAAGCCATTGCTTCTAAACTTGCGGCTGCATCATTGGTGAGTTAAATAGGAGATGGAAATTTGTTCCCATTTAAAATCATATGACACACATACTGTACAATCTGGCTCCTTCGCAGTATTATTACCCTCATGTCGAAAAACAAAAATTGCTGTATCTTGAGGTCTTCAGAATGGACAGGCTGTTCCCAGGAACTCTATTACCTGTTATCGTATGTTGGAAGTTATATCATGGACATAAGAGAAGGATTGGCATGAATTGTGGAGGAGGTGCTTCATACTGATAATAGTTGCACTCATTGTTGTTGATTTCAGCCTGATATTAATGCGCCAACGGAGCCTATTGCTAGTTCTAGCAGGGGAAGTCATACTGTAGAGGAAGAAAATCACCTTCCATCTTCCCCTGGTTTGAGAAGGAGAAAGTGAGTCAAAGCATTGATCTTTTCTCATGAGCTCTCACTTGGGTGTTCTTTTCCCGTTTCTCTCTTCACTTATAATTTGCACGGCTTCTTTGCATCTTAAACAACAGGCAACTCTCAAATGTTGAAGACAGAAGTCACGACAGCGCACATGTGGATGCATCTACAGCCCAAGTGAAACTGGATGCTGCAGCTCACATGCACATAGAAAAGCACAGGTTAGTTACTGCTATTCGACTCACAGTTGGTACGTAACTGGGACGTGGCTGTCTGAATAGAAGTAACAAAACCCTCAACAGTAATGCATGAATGTCGTGGAGAAACTCTACTATTAACATAAAGCTACAACAATTTTTCTTTAGCTGGCATTGCACTATGTCCATGCTTGAAGCATTGACAAAGCATATGGTACAATCTGGTCTAGATCTTCTCTTCCTGCAAATCGTCTATATAACTGAAAACAAAGCATATTTCTACTGCTGCTTACAGAAAGCTTCAGGAGGACCTGACAGACGAAATGGTTGTCTTGGCACGGCAACTGAAAGAGAGCAGCCTGATGATGCATCAGTCGGTTCAGGGCGCCGAAAAGGTACTCTTTGTCATGTTCGCGTGCTCTCTTCTTCAGTCGCAGTAACCATGAGCTTGGAAAATTCTTGTTGAAAACACTAATCAGGTAAAATGATGGGAAGTGCAGGTACTCGACTCGACGGAGCAGGCAATCGAGCAAAGCTTGGCTACGACAGGTCATGCTAATGCCCGGGCTGTACAAGTCTTCTCACAGAGCTCCAAGACCTCGTGCCTCACCTGGCTTCTCCTCTTCGCCATGACTTGCATCTTCGTCATGGTCGTGCTTCTCATTCGCGTCACCTAACAGAATACTTTTTTTCGTTTGTTAATCTTAGTGGACTTATTCCCTCTTTTGTATGGTAAATACGTGCTCTAATGCGCTGGACTTGCTTTACGAAGCAGCAGCATTTTCTTAACAAAAGTATTATGACTTCATCGGACAGTTGTTAATGACGTTGGAATATTATATCAATATGGACGACTTCCATTCTTGTGCTTGCATCTGTTTCTTAACAAACTAATATTATTGATAAGAGTTTATAGTAATCTGTTGCGAAATGTCCAAAAGTGATCTAGTAATAATATATATGAGTATGTTAGTTATAATTAACGACGCAAAAATGGAGTATCCAGTAGGGGTGGGTACATGGGTGGTTAATTCGCGGATTGATATCGATCCACCCGTAAATAACCCGACTCGCATGTAATGGGTGATTGATGTGGGTGGATTGCGGATTGTTAAATCTCCCACCCGCACTTATGTGGGTGGATTGCGGATTCACCCGTATGACCCGCATCCTATTTTTACATGGAAAAATGTTGTTTCTTATAGTATCGAATATTAATCATATTTTCGAACTGCGCTACAGTCTGACCATATACTGCAAAAGGTGGAGAATAAAGAATAGTTTTGACTACTATTATAGTATTATTTGGTTATTGTGTTGTGCAATATCCATTGGCAATGGATATTGGTATGCAAATTATTGTTAATATCCATTAAATATTGGGATACAAACTATAAATTATTAATTGTATCAAAATCACAAATTATTGATACAATCTTACTAATTTACTATGAACTTATTATAAATGTTAATCGATTTTCTTAACGGCTAGTTGGAAAATTGCTTTTGCGGATTAACCCGCCATCCAGCCGCACCCATCCGCCACCCACCCAACCCACATAAGTATGTGGGTGGATTGCGGGTCACATATATTCCAACCCGCTAGTAAGCAGGTGGGTCAATTTTAGACCAAAATTCACCCAACCCGTCCATTGCCCACCCCTAGTATCCAGTGTAATACAAATCGATTAAACCGAAGAAAGTATGCCGATCAATAATTACTATAGACCAGAAAACATTGCAAGAAATCATAATCGTATTGACTAATGTGCATGTTGTATGCTCTCAATTTTGGAACTACTAGATGGAGATAGTAATCAACTCCATCACTAACAATGTATTTACACCAAGCGGTGAAACATTTACATCAGAAACCAAATCGGAAATCAGCTGCCGATGAGGATGAACATGGAACTCAAGCGCGGGACGATCCCCAAACAGGAACGCCAGTAACTGCCCCTCCGCCGCCACCGTAATTACTCCGGCCGCCAGCCACCGGCACTCCAACTTGCAATCTCCACGACGACTGCGCGCCCCATGACGGACCGTACGTAGAAAAACCGCCGTACTCCGCCCCTACCTCCTTCCTCGCCGCCGCGGAACAATTACCTCTTCCGCCGCCGCCGCCGATAACCCTAACCGAGAAATTGACGATTCCATTCTTAACCCCTTTCGGGTCCCGCAACCGATAGCTCAAAAAATGGAGGTAATCCTCCGGCGTCGATTCCCCCAAGAAATCGGAAAACGGCACGGCCATCGCTCCCACCACTCTGTTTCCCGATCCGACCCGGCACCGCACTTCCACCGTCACCGAACCGTTCGACAGCGTGATCCCGACGACGACCCTCTCGTTCCAGAGTGGGTAGCTCCCGCCGTCGAGATCCGCCCTCGTCGATCCGGAATTCGACGGGTCGGATTCGGATCTCACGACGGCGAGCGCGTTCTTCTTGACGGGCCGCCCGTCGAGGTGGAGGTCCTCCGCGGAGAGGAGCGTGAATTCGAGGGTCCGGGTTCCTGCTGCTGGCGCCATTGATGAATCGGTACAGCGAATTGAATTGAAATGCGAAGGGACGATGGATGGAGGTTTTGGTATTTGGTGGTGTTATATAGGTTGCCGGCCGGGTCGGACGCGGGAACCCGAAGGGAAGAGAGTGGGAAAGTACCGTGCAGGTCGAGGGCGGGTTCGTTTCCGTTGTAATTTAGGTTTGCCCAGGGAATCGTTGACGTGTTTAACCCGTTCGGTTTCGGCACAGCGGTCCGGTTTGCTTTTCCAATTGTTTTCTTGGGTCGATCGGCTGGAATTGCCGCGGTTTTCATTTTTATCCGTTTCTTCATCTCCGAGTCACGAATTTACAACGACTCATAGAATAGAATGCCAATTGGGCTTGGGATTGGGCCTGGTTGATTTTTGTTGGGGGTGTTACTAAGGGACAGAGCGCACAGACTAAGCAGTAGGGCGCATAATCGGCGATGCCCAACGCTCGATACCCGCTACAGGTATATAAGGGCTTGAAGCCCTCCAAAGAGGGGGACTTCTTCTCTCTCCTCACTTTACACTTTCTACTATCTCTCTACACTCCATCTCCCTATCTACTCTCTCAACTCTCTCCACAAACGGACACTAACTTGACCGTCGGAGCTTAATCCGGGGGGCAACCCCGACTCTTCCACAGGTTCTTTCCCTTCCGACGAGATCAGACGAACGGATGACGAGTCGACCCACACCAACAAATATCATTGTTCGTGTCCTGAGCTAGATGGATCAAACAATTTTTTTTAAGGATACTTTCTATTTTTTATTCAAATATTTTTCATATTTTTTTTATATCATTCATACATATTAAAATACTATTAATTAGTCAAATTGTTCGTAATTCATCAAAATATTAGCCATTTTGACAGTAACGTTAATAATTTTGTAACTCTTTTAGTTTTTTCTCATTATCCAAAAAAAAAAAAAACTCTTTTAGTTTTTTCTCAGTTAAAATACTAAAATTTTGGAATGTTGACCTTCATGTGAATCTTTCAAGTCAGTATCATGTTGTCAAATTAATATTACTAACAAAATTGCTAACTGAAAATTAATATTTGGCTAATTCTTAGTATTTCGATAGGTTTTACTAATAAAAAAGAATCAGAAAAAGGTTTGGCTAATAAATAGTTATTAATTTTTTGGGTAAATACAATATATTAGCCATAACTATTAAGCAACGGGGAATTATATCCATAACTATCGAAATACAAATTATTAGCCATAACTATTGTTGCGGGTCAAGATTTGGCTAACAACCCGTTACTGTTTTCAAATTTTTAACGGAGAAGGCCATGTCATCATCGTAAAAAAAATACGATATAGTGACTGTCACGTGGGAGCCAGCTCAGCATCATAAAAGTTAGGTCATCATTACTAACAGAAGTGTTACGAAAACTTAATGGTTGGCTAATAATTTGTATTTCGATAGTTGTGGCTATAATTCCCCGCTACTTAATAGTTATGGCTAATATATTGTATTAACCCTAATTTTTTTTTAATTGGTAATGTAGAGTTTCGTTGCAATATTTAAGCCTTTCAAGTGATGGGATGATGTTCCAGCACCGACGAGGTAACGACCAACAGGTGCATTGTTTTTCCCAAAAAAATTTAGCTCCAACCTTGGTTGGACGCAAAAACTCCAAACATCCACATGTCAGTTTGCTATTGGTGGACTTACCTTCCTTTTTCTTAATATCTAATGTTCTTAATTATGCTAAATAAATCATGAATTAAAATATAAAAAAGAACGATAAACTCACTAATAGGAAATTGACATGTGGCTGGTAGGAGCTTCTACGTCCAACCAAGGTTGGAGTTAAGAATTTTCCTTTTTTTGAAGCGCTTGAATATCTCTCCAATAATATAAGTGTGTCATCTGGTCGATCATGTTATGAAAGTGGTCGACAGTTTTATCCAAATTATGGTGACTTGAAAGTTATCATACCAAAGTTCTAATTTCGGTCACCAATATGTTTTTTTATATATAAGGATGATATATATTTGGTTTTTAATAAGGTGTACTAAAAAAATTCGAATATGTGATCTTCGACATTCAAAATGGAATGTATTACCATTGGACCAAGCCCGCCAATAGATCCTCTTGAAGTGTTACTAGTTCTAGCGGGGTAGTCATGAGGACGAATCTCATAGTTATCCATTGATCTCTACATGATGAATGCTATAGTTATTCATTGATCTCTACATTCATTTACTTAAACTTAATGTAAATTTCCTCTTCCAACACTACTTGACCCACATTTTTCGATAATCCATCGCAAAGCACAAAGGTAATTATATAATTATAGTAATTTACAAGACTTGCTTAAGTAAGAGGAGCATCAACTTCTTCTAACAAAATTATAAGCTCGTTAACTAATATTTTTTCTTCAACCTTCGAGAACATCCAATAAAATTAAAACTACGTCAAACTTCACATTGAAATGAAATCCGAAAGTTAAAATCATCAATTAATCTATTACTAAATATAAAGTACCCCTAAAAGGAAGAAGAACAACTAAACCAAAATAATATTTACCATAAATTTCAAACTTCGAACCTCTCGATAAGTATTTGCTCCATGTGTAGAACACACATGTATATATAGTTTTTTTTTTTTTTTAAGAAAAAGAATCAAATCGGAAGAAACCTGACAGCCAATTCAACCGCGGGACGATCCCCAAACAGGAACGCCGGTAACTACACTGGCATCACCGTAATTGCTCCGGCTTCCACCGACCGCCGGCACTCCCCATGAAGATGACGACGACGACGACGGCCCGCCCCTTGAAGCAGAGTACGGGGAAGAACCACCGCACGACTCCACCCCCACCTTCTTCCTCGCCGCCGCCGAACAATTCCCTCCGCCGCTGCCGCCGCCGACAACCCTAACCGAGAAATTGACGATCCCATTCTTCGCCCCACGTGGGTCCCGCAGCCGGTAGCTCAAAAAATGGAGGTAATCGTCCGGCGTCAGGCCACCAATGAAATCGGAAACCGGCACCGCCACGGATCCGACCACTCTGTTCCCCGATCCGACCCTGCATTGGACCTCCACCGTCACCGATTTCGTCATCGGCACCGACATCGCAACGACAACTTTTTCGTTCCAGAGCGGGTAGCTCCCGCCGTCGCGATCCGCCCGGGTCGACCCGGAATTCGACGGGTCGGTTCGCACGACGGCGAACGCGTTCTTCTTGACGGGCCTCCCGTCGAGGCGGAGGTCCTCGGCAGAGAGGATCGTGAACTCGAGAGTCCGTGTTCCTGCTGCCAACATTGGGGGAACGCAGAAAGTGTTCTAATTCTAATTAACGCGAAAATTCTGGAATCCGAATTTTGTATGGAAACTCTGAATCGAACTGTGATGGAGGTTTTGGGATTGGTGGTGTATTATATAGATGCGGGAACCTGCAGGCGGAAACGAGTGGGAAAGTCCGAGTTCGTTTCCGATACAAATTAAGGTAAAGGTTTATCCGAAGAAATCGATGACGTGTTTTCGCGGGCTCAGTTTCAGGCCCAACGGTACCGTGGACTTTTCCCCCCATTGTTTTATACTTGGGCTTGTGTGGTCGGTCAATCGGGATTTTCCCACGGTTTTCTCGTTCGTCATTTCTTAAGCGAGGAATTTAATTTTACAACAACTCATTCCACCCCAAAACAAGTTTAAAAAAAAAAAATAAAAAAATTTGCAACTCTTCGATTATGTTTCCGCTACAGCAGGTGATGGTTCTGCTGGGTTCGTCAGCTAAGATTCTCACGGTGACATCATAAGGACTATTATGTTGTAATAAAGGTATTGACTTTGTGACATGATTGTATGTATAGTTTATATGTTATTTTTCGTCTGTACTTAATCTTTATATCTAATGGCAAAAAAGAACTCGTACCTCTCGTAGATAGTTTTACGTTCTCGCAAAATGTTGGGTGCATTCTGATTTCATAAACAACTACCAACTCATCCATTCACTATATGAGTTCTTGAACGGTTGCACCCTTCTCAGTACTATACAATGGCACAACTTGCCCATGAATGCCATTTGAGAGGACACTTTTGGCCTTATTTCTCCAAGTTCGATCTCTTAATAGCTTGTGTTGTGATAAGTTATTCTACAATGTACCAAAAAGAATTTCATTTTCCAGTGTACCAAAAAGAACATTATACACCTTTGGAGCATGTATTCATAGAATCTATTAGGTTAGCATATCTTTTGTGACGGATTTTATGTTGGGTTATAGATATAGTACGCCTCTTTACTATCCAGTTTTATCAAACATTTTCTTCTACTATTTTACACATCAAACCTAACCTTATACTTTGAATAAACACGATATTTTTCTCACGTACACATAACCCTGTCCAACATTGATATTTGATAAGGTGATGGCTAGCAGATCAAACATTTTTTAGAGTGATCGATTGTCAGTCTTCTTGGTAACGGTTGAATCTAGTTACAACAAGATAAGTGTATCATCGATTAGACCACTTCAAAAAAGCGATCGACGATTTTATCCAACTTTATTTGTGCATCTAATATTTAAGACTTAAAAGTCAACATGCTAAAATGCTAACTTCAACATCTAATTATATTTAAGACGATAAGAGAGCCTCATGTCGTTTATTATCTGTGTGTTCTTTTAGTAGTCACCTTGTGAGCTCCCTTGGATATACAAAACCTAACACAGAAGTGACTTATAAAAGTCAACATCGATCTCCACTTATATATTTACTTGTACTTATAAAAAAAATTCTTTTTACCTACATATTTGACAATCCATCGTAGAGCTCATGATAATTAGATATACCGTCTAAATTGCAAGACTTGCTTAAGAGAAGCACCAAATTCTTTTAACAAAACTACGAGTTTGTTAACTAATATTATTCCTCCTGTCTTTGAGAACATCAAATGAATTTCGAACGCCCGCCAAGATAAACTACCAATATAATAAAACAAAATTTAAGAACAAATCACAATGAAATGATAATCAGAAAATATTATATATATATATATATATAAATCAATCTATTACTATAAACCACTATAAGAAACAAAAATCATATTTTTCAAAGTCATTTTGTCACATGCAATATAAATCCGGAACCTCTCGATAAGTATGGAGATCAACCTTGAAACCAATAAATCGTATTTACTCCATGCGCAGAAGACACATATGTAGTTATATACATAATCAAATCGGAAGTTAGCTGACATCCAATTCAACCGCGGGACGAGCCCCAAACAGGAACGCCAGTGACTACTCCGCCGCCGCCACCGTAATTGCTCCGGCTGCCAGCTACCGGCACTCCCACCTGAAATCCCCTCGACGAAGAAGACCGCGCTCCCCATGAAGGAGAGTACGTGGAAGAACCACCGCCGTAGGACTCAGCCACCACATTCTTCCTCGCCGCCGCGGAACAATTACCTCCGCCGCCGCCGATAACTCTAACCGAGAAATTGACAATTCCATTCCTAACCCCTCGCGGGTCCCGCAACCGGTAGCTCAAAAAATGGAGGTAATCCTCCGGCGTCAGGCCGCCCAAGAATTCTGAAACCGGCACGGCCACGGACCCGACCACTCTGTTTCCCGATCCGACCCTGCATTGCACCTCCACCGTCACCGATTTCTGCATCGGCATCGACATCTCCACGACGACCTTCTCGTTCCATAGTGGGTAGCTCCCGCCGTCGAGATCCGCCCTGGTCGACCCAGAATTCGACGGGTCGGTTCGCACGACGGCGAACGCGTTCTTCTTGACGGGCCTCCCGTCGATCCGGAGATCCTCCGCGGAGAGGATCGTGAATTCGAGAGTCCGGGTTCCTGCAGAATGCATGTTGTCTTTAGGGAAATTGTACTACAACTTTGAATCGAATTATGAAGGGGATTGATCGAATGGATGGAGGTTTTGGGATCGGTGGTGCACATATTATATAGAGCGCCGGTTGGGTTTGGATGCGGGAACTCGACGGAAAGGAGTAGGAAAGTCCCCCGCAGGTAGAAAGCGAGTTCGCTTCCGATACAATTCAGTTTTTTACCAAAGAAATCGTTGACGTGTTTTCCTTTTCCCGTTCAGTTTCAGCCCAACGGTAAGGTAGACTTTTCCCCGTTGTTTTCTTCGCCTGTTTTTGGTCAATCGATTTTTCCCACGGTTTTCCTCTTCGTCATCTAATACGAATTTTATAACTCATAGAACGACTGCTAATTGGGCTTGGGCCTAGGTGACTCAAGCATAGAAAGACAAAAAGTGCATTTTGCAGGCCCAACCAAGCGAACGGACAAAAAGGAAAGGTAGAAAGACAAATAATGAACCCTACCGCTGGCCCATACGAAACGGCAGGATTAGAAAAGACAAAAAAGGAGCGCTGCAGTCACCAGTAATCAATCAATCAGACCAAAAAATGGCAGTATCGCTAGAGATCGATAATCTCGAATCCAAATTCAAATCGCAACGAAGAACAGAATGTAATCAAAACCCTAAACCCAAAATAGAGCATACAGTATCAATCAATCAAATCACAATCGGCACGTAATACTAATCATATATGATATGATTAAACAAATCGCAATCCAATGAAACAGATCAGAGGAACAATCGAGAAATTAACACTGCTAAAGAAGACTGTATATATCTTTCTTTTTTTCCTTTTCTTTTAACCGCGGTAAAGAGGGAGAAATTCCGAATTCACCGGCGGTTAGGGTGGAAGACGTCGGAGTTTCCAAGCTGCGGTTTCTTTCTTCAATACTCTCACAGGAGCTCGGCCCTGGCGGCGTAACCGTACTGCGCCCGCCTCAAATTCTGCTGTCTCTTGCGGTAAACCATCCCGCCGAACCCGACGACGCAGACGGCCGCCACCAGCCCCACCGCGATTCCGGCCTTCTTCCCGCCGCTCATCCCGGACGAATCCCCGATCTCGCCGTCCTCCGTCGCCATCGCATTGCCGCTCTTGTTCCCGTCCACGGCTTCCACGGGAGCAGGCGCCGGGGAATTCTCATCGCCAGGAGTCGGACTCGGAGCGGGAGCGGAGGCAGGGGTGTGCAGATCTGAGGGAGGAGGAGCCGGAGGAGAAATGTGCGGCGAGTTGGACACTGGAGACGGGGATGGTGACGGAGATCCGGAATCGGGAGACGGAGTTGGAGAAGATGACGGGGAATTGGAATCGGAGTCCGCGGCGGGAGATGGACTCGGGGACTGTGCGGTGGTGGCTGTGACGGAGAGGAATCCGAGGAGGAAGACTAGAAGCAAGGACTTGGTCGCCATTTTCTGAAACTCGTAGATCTGGAGAAGGAGAGTGGGAAATGCAGTTGAAAGCAGCGGCGGAAGGAGAAGCTGCGGATCTGAGGAGTTTGACTCTCTCCTTCAATGGCGGCGGAAGTTGCAGATCTGTGGAAAGGGAGGAGAAAGAGGAAGGAAGAGAAGTTTTGGTTCGTCTCTCCTCTTTCGGGGGAGAAGAGATAAAAGGGTGGTCGCTGGATTGACGGGAAGGGAAAGGTTACACTGTAGTTTCAGGGGAGAGGTATTTGGGGATTTGAGATTTGGCGGAAATTATTAATACACCATTTTTGCGTTGAGTAACGAAATAGGACGAATGGGATGGGTAATTAATTAATTGTAATGATTATGAGGATAATTATGGAGGTCGAAAATGAAACTGTGTCGAGGTCCCAACTTAACCGTGAAGAAACGTGTGCTACGGCGTCGTTTTCTCGTTGTGATGGAATGTACAAAAGAAAGAAAGAAAAAAAGGGTGATTGAGAGATTGAAATGACCAACGGTTTAGTGGGATGCTTTCATTGAACCTGACCCCATAACCATTTAGGATCCCTATTCCGTCACAGGATGTGAAACGGCCATGCTAATAAGCGCTCATGAACGACTCGGCGTTTGACTTGAGAAAAACTCGTTTGACACTCGATTCATTTTAATTGAGTCGGCTCGCGAACAAACTCGTTAAAACTAAACGAGCCAAGCTCGAGCCATACCATGTTCAGCTCGAAAGCTCGCGAACAAGCACATTTAATGATTTGGCATAAAAAAAGGATTACAATTCATTGATTTTATGTATTGAAATTGGGATAAATATTGTATTTTACTTAGCTAGACTTTGCTACAAGTTTGAATGTAATTTGGTACTTAGTTCTAAATCAATCTTGAGCTATCATGAACATTTTATTAGCGGAACTCGATTTTGGCTCGTTAAACTTATTTGACGAGCGAGCTCGAGCTTTCATTTTCATAAAAGAGCCGAGCTCGAGCTTGCATATTAAAGCTCGTGACGAACACGAGCCGAGTTCGAACTATGACAAAACTCGACTCGGCTCATTAACAGCACAAAGGGAAATTTACCAAGATATAGAAACGTTCATTAGACTATGAAGCACTTGATTGAGAAGAACACACAACAGGCTAATCTCTAAGTAGGCTCTAACCGAAGGAGAAACCAAAACTTCCTCTTTTAAGCCTAAACTGATGGCACAGTCGCACAGATACATAAGTTAAGGAACATGTTTTCCACTTCCTCACAATTCATCCTTCACGTCTTCTGAGCTGCTGCTGGTGGTGGTTTCCTGGACTTCACTCTCGGATTCGGATGCTGGCTTCGTTGTAGTAGCCGGCTTCTGAAGCTTGAAGGGGATCGATGCGTGTTTCTTGATGAACTTGTAAAACGCTACCACTGTTCTGTCTGTGTCTACAGTGATCTGTCAAATGACCACGCCAAATGTTTTCTCATGCCATCCTATGGTGTCTGCAACCGTTTATTTAAGAATGGGAGCATAATGTTTAAGTCCACTTACTGGATCGAAGCTCTTGTTTCCGGCAGGGAAGAAAAGAAGTGTGGGGAAACCATCAGACTGCAGATGATTATAAAGACCGATCAGAACTTTAGTCCGTAAGACATTCTTGATCAAGGATAAGAAACTTGCTCTAGCCTAGATGGGCCGATATGATAATTACCTTTGCCCTGGGGTGTTCGTTCGTTGTTCCGTCCATCTTGGCTATGATGATTGAGTCGATGTCCCGCAAATGTTTAGCAAGTTTGTTGTACGTTGGCTCCAAAGCTTGGCAATGACCACACCAAGGTGCATAGATCTGGTGCCATGATGATTACGATTGCGCACTGATCAGTAAGCAGCGTAGGACAAAAGGAAGTTCTGAAAGCTAATAATGTACGCAATTTGCATTGGATATGTGGAGCAATACCTCAAGGAAAACATCTTTTGACTCGTCCAAGACGATTTCATCGAAGTTATCCCCAACCACAATTTTGACATCTCCATCATTCTACGGCAACATTATCATCAAAACAAGTTATTATCATGAGCTACATTGTAATAGTACAAAAGGAGGAAATATGGGAAGAAGATAAACAACATACATTTTCTGGAATCGGGTCAGACTTGAAGAATGGTTTGAGCTTGTCATCAATAAAGTCCTGTCCAAAAGCCTGGGGAGGGAAATTCCAGTGTGCAGTTTATGGAGTTCATTGTCAAATGCACATGTTATGTCAGGGGAGGAGCGAGCAACTAATAGATATGATCAAACCCCAGAAATTCAATATCGAGCGTGAGAGTTCAAACCTTAATATTATCCACGGTAATTTCCTTGTCAAAGATGAATTTCTTTGTATCTTCATTACCAGTATATCCGATAATCTAATAAGAAATAAATGGTGTTCAGCATACATACAAAACCCAAAAGTTGGCATACCAGAAGAAGAAATTTTTTGATGAGACTCTTTTGGGATGACAGTAGAATGATATGTATTTACCTTGGGGGAAGTTGTGATACCAAAATAGTCAGAGACAGGCTTTCCTACATCTTCGTTTTCCATATCAACGTATACAAAAATGAGCTGCAACATACACATATGCGCAACCCTCAAAGTTATGAAACACTTGGGAAATCACAAATCTGCATTGTCTTCTGAATGCAATAATTATAACGTCTTAACACAGCAATATATGGTGACAGAACATGTACATTACCAAGGTACTGCAAAAATTTAGATACAGAAGATAACTTACCTTTCCCTTGAACAGTTTAGCAGCTTCTTGAAAGGATGCAAGAGCTTTCTCCGTATCATTTTTAGCGGCAAACAAAATTAGCTGAGAACAACAAATTTATGTTGTGATGTCAATGATTAACCCTATAGGATGCTAATTGGAAATCAAAGCAAATTGAATTGCTCAACATACCTGCTTCTTGATTTCACTCTCGAAAACTGCTGGAGCATTTTCCCTGGTGAAAATGGTAACCAGAGGAAGCTTGTTCGCAAATACGAACTCGGCTATGCTAGACCTTGAGAAATTTCCATCTACATAAAACAGAAAAAAATGAAGCTTTCCTTAAGAAATTATTGCCCCCCACTAAAGTAGTCGTCTTTGCAGCTAAAGAAAAACATACCAAAATAACTCAGTTTCTCATCCTCCTTCTTAATCATGATCAAGGTAGGACGTGTAGCTTTAACATCAAGATGGAAAAGCTTTGCGACATCCGGGTTAACAGTTTGATAGAAGTTAACATCATCTTCAAGCCTTGAAGCAGCAGCTAGCTCTTCACTCTCAGGGCCCTGTCGTTGAATCAAATGCATTGGTTCACATTAAACACTATAACATTATCTCCATTCCAAAAATATACACGATCCTCTTAGCTAGATAGCAATCAATCCATGGTTCTCAACAACATCCCCACGTTAACCAGAAGAATCTCAATGCCTCATCAGTTCACAGAGCAGGGAAATGAAGAACTAACTCACCACCAAGGAGTTGAGGTAACCCAAGGCGACCTTGCTCTCCGAGGTCAAAATTCGCTCTGCATCATCCAATGTGGTGATATTGGCGATTCCAGGTCCAATCTTCTTCTTAATCCACGTAACAATAGCCTCTCTACACGAATCGCAAATCCATACATCAACTTCAGCAACCAAAATCCAAAAGCTAAAAAAAATGATAAGCAAAACCCAAAGCACGAGAATTCGAATCAGAAGAACTGACTTGGTCCTCTGGCCAGGGTAAGGCTTGCGAACACCGTCGACGAAGAAGTAGAGAGTAGGAAACCCTTGCACATCGTACTCCTGAGACAGCTCGCTCTCCTCCGTGGCGTCCACCTTCGCCAGCGCCACATCCTCCTCCGCCTTCAGCTCCGTGGCCGCCGCCGCGTACTCGGGAGCGAGCGACTGGCAGTGGCCGCACCAGGGAGCGTAGAATTCCACCAGCACGAACTTGCGGTCCTTCACGAAATCGCTGAAATTGCCGTCGGTCAACACGACGACGTCCTTCTCGTCGACCTCGGGAGCCTTGTAAGCATCGGGATCGGAATCGGCCGCATCGTCGTCGAGATCGTCGTAGTTCTCGAAGTCGCCTCCTTCGCCCCCAAAGTCCTCGTCCTCATCGAAATGATCGGAATCGGGGTAGTGCTCGGAGTGGGAATCGGCGGTGCGATCGGCGGCGTCGTCGTCTTCAAGGAAGCTGAGGTCCTCGTCGTCGTCGTCGTCGTCGGCGGTGGGGGAGGAGGAGGAGGCCGAAGCCGGATTGGGGAAGGAAGGGGAGGCGAGGAGGAAGGCGGTGAGGGCGAGGAGGAGGAGGTAGCGGGTCGACATTGTTGAGTTCGTTTGACTTGAATTTTTGGTGAAAGCAGATCAAGATCTGACTGAGAAAGGAAGACTGATTGAGATCTAAGCGCCCACTGATGGCGGAGGGTTTATAGTCTGTATGTATCGAGATTTGAGAAAATGGAGGGGACAGGTTAGTCACGGAGTTTGAAGGAGAGAAGTTTTTTACGGCGTCGTTTTGGCGGGAGATTGGTAGCTGAGCCGTTATTGCCGTTAATGGGTTTGGACTTGTAGTTGGATGGGGTTCTGTCCTTTAGAAAGGAAGGATTCGAGTCGCGTTCGGTGTAGGGCTGCAAATGAGAAAAGCTGTTCGAAGATAATTCGACGTTTGTTGTAAATTGACTTGTTAGTAAAGGAATTAGGTTTGATATTGATTTTGTTTTGCTCATCAGGGTTTTAAGCTAATTTGGCCGGGTGGTTCATTGAGCTTAATTCGCAATTAACTAGACGAGAGCTCGTATGATGGTTGGTAAATGTTGATCGTTGAAGGTCATTCGTTTTTCTAGTTTTTTTTAGTTTCTTTTTAACACTAAAATTCTTGTATTACTAGCTTTTCGAACTTTCACTGAAAGTTTGACAAACTCGAGCACGTAGAATACACGAATCTCATTTATTGCTTGTCAATAATAATAAAACATTTCATCTCATGAATGCTATTGTTTTGACATTGTATTGCTTGTCAAGTTTCATTTTGTGATAGTGGGCTAATTAGGCTGCTTGCCAAACAGCAACTAACAATTGAAGAATTCAAGCCACATTCAGCATCCATAGATTGCCGCCATCCTAGTCAACCCTATTCCTTAATCTTGAAGGAGAAGGCAGACAGATTGAATCTATCTCCTAATAAGTCTGAACCAATTTGCAAGTTGATGGATGGCTTAAAGTCTTGAACTTTGGTACTAATATTACGTCCAATAAAGAATGCCACTAATTAGCAGTTGAATGTAAATCCATAGAAAGACAGGAGATAAATAAAGTCTGGTCATTTGAAGAGTTCACTCCCAAGTTTTACAGCTCCAATCTCCTCACCATAGTCATGATCCACATGCCCAGTTTCCCGCCCTCGAATCCATTCGAGCGCTTTGACAACCTTCTCCATTGAAGGTCTCCTTGTGCTGACATCCACACACATCAATGCCAGATCCACCATGATTCGTTTCGTTCGATCCTTAGCTTGGAGCGACTTGTCCACGAAGTCGTTGAGGCTGCTATCCCTAGCCTGTAAGACAAAAACCATATTTGTGAGCAACAGTAGGAAAGTGCAGTTATGTGTTTGTTTGGCTGAGAGTAGTTATCTGCACAGGTACCTGAAGCAGTAGATTTTGGTCTGATTTCGATTGATGCTTTCCGTGTGCTTCACGTCCACTGATCAGCTCTAGTAGGAATACTCCATAACTGTAGACATCACTGAGCTCTGAGAAGTCCCTCGACGAATTCAACCTGAACAACAATCATGCAGAGGCATGCATTAGGGAACACAGCCAGAAAAGTTTCAATCTTTTTTTTATTAAACAACGGGAAGGAAATGCAATCACGTACTCGGGATCAAGGAAGTGATCTACAGAAGAAGAAGATCCCGGGTGCAGAGTTTCTGCTACCAACTTGTAGATTCCATAGTCAGATACCTTAGCAGTGAAATTTTCATCCACAAGCACATTGCTGGTTCTGAAATGCATGTGCAGGAAAGGAGGGACCAAACTGTGAAGATACCGAAGCCCTGATTCAAGAAAAGAAATGAAATGGAACTAGGAAATATCTAAACATTTTAGAAAATAGGAGACCACAGAGCTGGAAATGTTAGGACTGGTTTACTGAGCCATACCTTTTGCTGCACCTAAGGCTATGGCCAGTCTACGCTTGATACCCAATTTCCCAACAGGCAGACCTTCACTATCTAAGGAAAGGGAAAAGCAGAGAAGCCTTAACATGGGAATGAGTGAGACTCTTAACAGTTTTGAGAAAGGTAGAGAGAATTACCATAGAGGTATTGTCCCACATTTCCATTGGATATGAATTCAGTTACAAGAACTGTTGCTGCCTATCCTCACAATAACCAATAAACTTTACAAGATGCTGGTTCTGGACCGAAGCGATGTGTCTAACCTGCAGGCATAAGGAGAACTATAAGGATGTAGAGCTTTTACTATTATGTGTGATAAACATCAATTTTTTATTGGTTTGCAAGTACCTCATTAGCAAAGTTCTGAACAGGATGATATATGTTTCTCTTTATGACAGCAATAGATCCATCAAGAAGCAGTCCTTTGTAAACCAAACCAAGCAAGCCTTCGCCTATGATATTGCTGTCACTGAAACTTCGTGTCGCCAGCTTCAACTCCTCAATTGTCAATAATCTCAGGAAGTGTGTGCCCGGAGGATGAGGACTAGCATAAGTGGGAGTTCCAACTATTTCCAACCCAGTTGCTGAATGCAAAAAAAAAAAAAAAACAGAAAGAGGTTATTGATGAAACTCAAACCAAAAAATCAATACAGCAAGCAAGCCATGGTAAATGAAAAGTCATAGTCCAACAGTGAAAAAGAAGGAGAATTGAACAAGCCACTTTCATGTTGGGATGATGCTAAACTCACTTGGAGATTGTGCAGAGGACTCCCTTTCAGAAGTTTGTGCTGCCAATTTCTTAATGCACAAGTAAACGATTACCACAATGATAATTACTAGAAGAACTGCACCAACACCTCCAGCTATGGCTGCAACTTTCCTTTTCCATGCTTCTGTGTCATCGTATGGTTGCACTGGTGTTAATGTAGGAACACCATTGGATCCATCAAATGTCTTTGCTATCCTCTTAGTATGTAATAAATATAACCGTTCTTGTAATCCTAAATGGATGCTTGAGGGAATAGATTGCGAAGAAACAGGTGACAATTTGGTTGAACCAGTCTGCAACAGACAGGGCTGACTCTTTGTCTTTGGAACATAAGCTATCAAACATCAGAAAATGCAGCATATTGTTAGAAAGTCTATGTACATATTAGTAAGTAAGTCGAGTATGGAGTGTATGAAGAGCAGAAAGACCTGCTCAACAGTACAAAAGAGTAGTCTTCTAGGCCAATTTCACAAAGACGCCACTGCAATTAAGAATACTCAGACAAAGATAAGAGAAAACACTATCAGTGGCAGAGAATGTCAAATTCAACCTTCAGTCTGAGAAGAAGATGCAAGACTGCATATGCTACATAGTAAAAATTAAATTATCTCACCTTTTGACGCATAGCTATAGCAGCATCAGAGGCATCATTCCTGAGACCACTTTCAAGACCCTTTCCAATCATATCTCTAAGACCATTCAGAGACTGCATGGTCTCAATCAATTCGCTATGTTGGTCGACCGTTTTGAAGCATCCAAGTTCTGGAAAGATGCAGATTTTTCTTCATCATTTATCCAACGGAAGAAAGAACGTAGAAAACTAGATTACGATAGTGAAAGTAAATATTGAATGTACTACATAACCACAATATCATCTAAAACATGCGAGTGATAAGGAAATTAGAAACACGATTCAAACAGCACAACAAACCTTTTTGTGATCCAAAAACAATGTGAGAGCAGAAAGACTATTATCATCAAAGCTGTCTCTAACTGAGTCAAGCTGCTCAGTAAGACTGCACACAGAGTGTAAGTGGATACACATGAGGAAATCAGAAGTAAATATATGTTCAACTGATGCCAAACAAAATGCTTCTATGTGAATATTAAGCTAACTTAGGATTCAGAAGTAGAAGTTTTAAGGATGTAGGTAATCAGCCACAAGCATAGCAAAGTATTATGTAACTTTAATGTTATGCATATGCTTCAACCACAAAGAAATCAGAACCAACGGATCAAACCGATATAGAAATTGTATGATGTGATATAGATAATACAACCTAATATACATTCATGAATAATGGTGTTATTACTGCGATATGAGGGCTGCAATAGGGAAAGCGAAAGCCACCAAGAACAATCACACACCAGCCATGAGTCCATAGTGTAATCGATACAGATAAGGAAGATGCCCGGTAACAACTTCTACAAATTGCTAGTCTGAGGTTGGAACCTACTGCCCAATCAAACCATACATATGCACACATGAAGCAATAAAGGAAAGGACTTTGCAATCAAATGTTCTCGGTCCTAGTTCGTTGAGACATATCTTGGAAGGACAAGTTCCGTATTCCATATGCCAAATGTAGCTTTCAAAAGCAATATAGAAAATTATCAAACCTTCCAGCATTGAAGAAATCCTTAAGCTCCTGATGGAAAATCTTGAATTGTTCCACGAATGCCCCATTGTACTCTCCAGGATTCTTGGTGATTCGTGCAAGCATCGCCTCCGTAGCAACCAGATCTTCTGGCCCGGCATTCCTATGAAGCTTGTTTTGAATCGTGTGTTTGATTTCTTGCTAACAGTTGAAATAACTAGATTACTGGATTGATCAGGTCATAGAATAAAAGCAATCGCAGCTATCCAAGAGCATTGTTATGCGTACCTTAAGGTCATGAGGGATGTCATTCCGATGAGCAATATCCCTAATGCGAGTTAGAGGAACTGATGCTGTAAATTCTGCCTTAAATGATGGCAAACAAGGATGGATCTTCCGAATAACAAGCACTTCCTAGATATCAACAGTAAAACAGTTGCAAATATGAGCCAAAACTTGATAGGTGATAGAATGCAAAGTAAAGCAACGAAGGTAACAAAGATAGCAAACCAATCTCAAACTGTCCCTAGACATACATGATTATGTCATGTTTTCAATGATTCATCAACTAAAGCCTAGCAGACTAGATAAAGGAAAATGCATCAGCACAATCAGAAAAATTTCTCCAGTTTTCAGTTCCTCGATGAGGTTTCACCCTTCTGCACAGCACATAATGACACCAAGAAGGGAATGCTAATAGCACAGCCTTATCACTCAAATAGTGAACTTCTTCACCTGACTGAAAGAACCAAACACCATACAACTATTGCACATCTAACTCAACTATCCTCAACATGGCCAACCTATGGGACCTTGATCATATCCACACAAAAAAAGCAAGCGTAACTTCAAATTTGTGACCTATGAGCCAGCTGACCAGTAAGACTATTCAAATAAAGGATCTGGAAAGAACCATACTAAAAAAGTGGGGGAAACTAAGTTCCTTCTCATCTAAGTGACCTTTAACATAAACAAAAAACGACAGCAATGAAACACTGGCTCGGTGACACAAGGTTGGAGAGAAGGCAATCAAATTCAAAATATCAGTGAGGCCAAAAGATAGAGCACCTGTGGAGAAGTATCCTTTCTACTAGATATTCTTTCCAACTCCCGAAATATTTGCCTAGAGATTTCAGCATGGTGATTTGGCCTGTAATGTCCTCCATCTTCAAGGCAAGGAATTTGTCCTGTATTAATCCACTGCATAGGAAAAGTATTTGAGAGAGGCACTGAAAGGGAAACCGCAAGAAAAATTAAGAACAGAGATAGCTAAGAACCTTAAGATAGATGGCAGAGTATATGAGAGCATCCATACGCTCCCCACTTTCAAGACTTCCAACTATCAGCTCCCGGACAACTTCAAGCTGTTGAAGCAAATGGAAAATTATGTCAACAGAAAGCAAAGAAATCATTGAAAACTGTGGGAATCACACTACCAACAACATAAAAGGGACATTAGAATCTTTAACAAGGAGCAGAACAGAGGTTTTTCTTTTTCAAGTTCCTTATAAAATCCAAGCAAATTCTTATAGCAAGACGGAGCATTTTGAAGGGAATACCTTTTTCCACCAATTCCTTGCACTCCGATCACCTTCGACTAACTTTAGAGACAATCCCTCAAGACCAGAAGTATCCCATCTCCTATCACCTTCCCTGTCCCTATGTTCATTGGACCTCATGAATGATGCAGCCTTTCCCTGCCATTGTCCAACAAAAGGGCTCGGCTCACCATCATGCGTGGGAGGAGCACTGCTAGGTCCATCAAAGCCTATTTTCTCTGTTCTGTCCTGCTTCTGCTCCGATCCAGCAGGCAACAGATCAATACCTTCCCCAGTTGCATTCCACCTACATACCATCTCATAACTCCCCTCGTTGGGCAAATTCAGCCTCCGATTATCACCACCTTCCCACGACGTGCGCTTGTCCTTGTTCACAACAACAAACTTATACTCAATAGACTGACCACCGTCCAACTCCAATTTGCACACCCATCCACCTTCCGTCCAATTCAATGCCACGTCCTTTTTCCATGAACCCAGCTCCTTCACTGATCCCAAAATGACTACATTCTCACCAAATTTAACTTGGTGATCGAGACGAATATTGAGCTGCACTTTCTGTTTCGACCTGGATTTGTCCATCCTTTCTTCATCCCTGCCATAAAAACCAGCCTTTTAATCCAATTTGTAGAAATAACACATTGCCAAAAGTTAATCGAATCGACGATTCTGAAATGTTCACCATCCTGTAATCACATTTTGGATCAAATATCCATTCACGACCTATCAATCTAGAAAATTCCTCAGAAGAAGTAGCTCAAAACTATCCAGACCGAATTATCGCTATATGTTAGTTAGAACTCTTAGAACAGCGACTTATCAAGAAGAAATTCCACCGTAAAGCTTTCGTTTCACGTCATACTCAAAACAGCATACAAAAGCGACGAATGAAGGAAACTGGAGAGTGATAGAGAGACGAGGGGACCTGGTTTCAGGAGGAGAAACGCGGCAAGCGATTCTCGGGAGAAGGACGTGGTGGTGACGGAGAGGGAATGAGATCCTGTGAGTGCGGAGGAAATGAGTGCTCGAAGAACGATGACAGCGGCGGTGGAGGGACTGAGAACGGTGATCGGAGAGGTGGAGCCTGGGCGAGGCAGCGGTGCAGCCGCCGTGGTGTTGCAATCCACGCAAGGGATCCATTCTTGGAGTGAGGGAGCGAGAGAGAGAGAGAGAGAGAGAGAGAGAGATCGAAGAAGAAAAGGGATGGAGAAGAGAAGAAGATGAAGGATTGGATGGAAAGGGACACGTGGTAGGATTCCTCTGTTTCCCCCTGTTCTGTACTCTGTTTCCCAATTTCCACCACAGATCAGCATATGGTCTGATGCAGACTGCTCCCCAAACTTGAATTGCTCAAACGTCAGAATGAATTGGACACTGTGGACTCCCAATTCGAAACACGACTCCGGCCACCTAATTCAGAACACCGTCTACGCTCGCGAAACAACATTGCTTGACACAACGAGGCCTCATCTTTGGAAGTACTCCAAATGCTTTGATACCCCCGCGAATATCTGCTTTTGAGCCTTTAGCCATTCTGTTGCAAAGGCCTATCTTCCTGTGCTAGTGATGTGAGAAGAGGGCAGTTGCGTATAACTACACCTCCTAACATGATCAGAGGCGGGACAGTTTCAAAGCCGTGGAGACGCCTTAACCTCAGTACATCATGAAGGTGAACTGTTTCCCATGGCTGCAGCCCTCCAAGGCCAAGGATTTCTGTGAGACAAGGGCAGTTACGGATACTTATAAAAAGTCTCTGGCTCAAAGATGCCGTGCTGGCGAGTCTTTCCAACGCCGAACAAGCGTTAATTTGTATGGATTTCAAAGAGTAGAGACTGTCAAGACCGTCCACGCTGCGCACAGCTTCCAGACCACTCAGGCTCAGAGTTTCCAAGGATTTCAGTCCTTGGAGACCAAGGATCTCCTTCAGGACCGGACAGCCATGGATATGTAAGCCAGTCAAGTTCACCAGATTATCTAGATTGGGGAGCCACTCCAGCTTTGGACACTTGATAACGAAGAGCGAGGTTAGAGATGATGGAAGAAGATGCATCGCCTTCATGTTTTCCAACGGCATCGTCCCAAGGGTTCCGCCTGTTATCTCTCTTACCTCACAGTCGTCCAGATATAGCACTTTCAGGTTCTCCCATGGCATCATCCCAATTCTTCCGCCCGCTATTTCTCTTACTCCGCATTCCCCCAGACGCAGCTCTTTTAGGTTCCTCAAATTCCCAATATCCAGGTCCTTACGGATCAACGGATGGCGGAAGGAATCAACCAGTTCTAATATCTCAAGGCTCCCAGAATGTGGGAACTGGGGAAATTCGTTCAGCCAATAACCAGAAAGCTTCAGAACTTTGAGCTTGCTCGCCATCTGCGTGCACGCATTAACGAAAAGAAGGGGGATAAAAACAGCATGTACAGTACAACAGTCGATAAGTATTGATCAAGGAACTCAACAAGTACACTTCATATCATGTTAAATTATTTATGGCAATGGCTCATACCTTGATTTGCTTCAAGCCTCCCGAGTCGACTCTCGTACATGAGAAGCTTGAGACTTCAAGAATCACCAAATTTTCCACATTAAAGTTATCGGAAGGTCCGTTCCTCAATCGAAGCCATCTTAAATTCGGAATGTAATCACCAAAGTCGTCAATGAGCACACTAACATTTATGTCCAAGTATCTCAACTCTGATAAATTCATGAAGCACTCTTTCGAAATCGTTCCAAGCTCCTCCATATTTAGGTTCTTTAAGATTTCAAAATTATTGTAGCGCATTCTGATGCCCTCAACTTGGTTTGTTCCCTGCAAAGAGATGTTTAAGTACTATGAAATTTGAAAAACACATCTCTACTTTATTTGTTTCTAGTCTCTCTATACCAGCAAAAACGACATATGATTAATAAGCACATCAGTCATAATTCACGCCACATTTTCTAAAATATGCATTTTCTCGCCTCAATCTAACAGCACTACCCTACTTAACATGTGAGTTATCAATGTTTGCCAAGCATGAAAACTAAAATAATTCTAGTGGAGGTTGGGAAATTACCTTTTTGTTAAGTAACACGTTCAGAGCTTTCTCCTTCGACCATATCCTACTTGTCTTCCATGGATGCCTTATGTTTTCTTGGCGTACAATTTCTCTACCCATATCTCTGAGTTGATCATGCATTTGGAAAATTAGTTTTTTTCTAGAACCTGCAACCACAATTCCGATCATAGACCTTTGATTGAGGATGTTAATATTAGTTGTCGGAAAAAAGCCAAGATCACTCCACATATAGGAAGCGATCTCTTTGTCCTCTCCAACAAAGAAACAAGCAATGTCCAAGAAAATCCGCTTCGCCTCTTCATTTAATGTATCGTAGCTTATCTTTAACCTATCTACAACCTTCTGCTCTGGGATCTCTTTTAACTGCTTCAGTTTGTCTCTCCAAATCTCTTCCTCTTCTTGAAATAAAAGTGAACCCACAACTTTAAGTGTCAATGGAAGTCCTGCTGCAACCGATACGATATCATTGGACAAAGTCTCATAATTTGATGGAGGAATATCCTTTTTGAATGCATAGTTGCAGAAGAGTTGGAGTGAGTGCTGATGACTCATTTCTTGTACTCTATATAACTTGATATCATCAGCCAACATACTCAAAACTTTTACGTTTCTAGACGTAAAGATGAATCTGCTTCCCGAAACAAAATTCTCCATGTTTCCCAAGATCTTCTCAAATTCAAACGTCTCATCCACGTCATCAAGAACAACAAGAAATTTGAACCGAGAAACATCTCTTATAGCTCTGATTCCTTCACTGTTGTTGACAATGGATTCAGCAATGTTCACCATCAAAATGTTAGAGACGATATGCTTCTGCAAAGTGATGACACCATCCTTTTGTTCTAGCATTTCTCGTACGTTCTCGACAAAGCTACATCGATCAAATTGAGCAGATACGTCGTTATATACAGCCTTGGCGATAGTAGTCTTGCCAATACCACCCATACCGTAAATGCCAACGATTTTCATACATGGAGAGTCTAGAGCCATACTTTCTTTTACTGCTTCTACGTGATCATCAATTCCAATCAACTTATCGATCTCTAAGACATTATTGTTCTTACTTAGATGTGACCACACGACGCCAGTAACAAGATCTGCTATAGCCCCCTGCCTGGAAAAATATGACTTGCAATTATAGCAACCACACTATAGAAGACACTAATAGCAGGAGCAAGACGCGAAACTAGTTCCCAATCTAACAATAAGTAACTTGGTGAAAGAATATTCTGAGAGGCAAGAGTAAGGTAATACATACTCGTCATTGCTTTTGACATGCCATCCTTTCAGAGCTCCAACCTTATTGAGAGCATCTTTCCAAATTCTTATGGTCTCTTCATCAACATTCTGCTCGTGCTGTCGAAATGCATTCCGGTAAGGTCCACTCTGATGCCGTACGTCTCTAGGATCCACCATATAGAAAATGGGGAGAATGATGCAGCCCCGGTTTCTCCCTTGGCGTTCGACAATTGCTGCAAGCTCTCTGAGGCACCATTTGCTATCAGCGTAATTCTCGGAGAAGATAGGGACATAGACCTTAGACTGTTGGGCTTTTGTCTGGACCTCTGAAATTCAGAAACACCTCGTACTCTCCCCATGGCAGGGGCTGGGAGCTAGAATGTGCAGAGCAGGAGGCAGAAGCAGCATGCTCAACACTGTTGGGCTTTTGTTTCTTGTTCGTTTCAAACGGATCACTGTCATTACTACTTGAGGAGCCAGCCATTCTCCTTATCCCGCCAGACCGCATCTTCGTAGAGCAGAAGCTGTAGTAGAAGAAAGAGCAGAGTTTTTGACAACTGAAGCTCAAAAACAGTTGGAAGTTCAGAAACATGGTGCATTCGGGGGAGTAGGCAAGTAAAATAGGAAATTCTTAGGGCTAAACTGCAATACCAGAAAGAACGAGGGCTGGAACCGTAAGAACTGGAATAGTTAAAAGCATGAAAACGATTAAACGAAGGATGAGAAGTCCGATGGTCTCTAAGCAGGAAAATTCAAGGATCGGAGGACGAAACAAGCAAGGAATGAAAATAGAACTCTGGATCTCGCAGGGAAGCTTCAAGGAGCGGAGCAGGGGAAGTAATCATTCGCCATTTCCAGGCTAATAACTTATATCAAAGAGAGAGAGAGAGAGAGACTTACAGGTGGTTTCGTCGTTGGTGGCCGCTGCAGGGGAAGGAGACAATCGAGAAGATAGGTAGTGAAGAAGGGAAAACGAGTGATCGCAGTTAGGGATGGCAACAAAACCCGAACCCACGGGTACCCACCCGACTCAACCCGGTCAACGCGGGTAAAATCCGTGTTGATGGGTTTTGGGCCGGGTTTGGGTTTTAACCCGTTCACTATTCACCGGGTTGGGTTTGGGTTTAGGTAAACCCGGCCCGTGGGTACCCGCCCACCCATATAATTAATTTTTTCGGTATATTTAATATTCTAAACAACTAATCTTATTTATGTTTGTGGAGACATGTCTAATTTTTTCTTTTTAATTGTGTAGAATGAAGTTGATGTTATGGAGTGGAGAGTAAAGAAACTTAATTGAAAGGAAGAAGCTTTCAATTAAACATGTTATTTATGGATAATTTATGATTTGCTTCAATTTTATTGAGTTTTCTAGATTGTTGTTGAACAATTTGTATAGTTAATTTGTGATTTGCTTGAATTTTCTAGAATGGTGTTTTATATATGGATAATTTGTATTGAGAGATTGATATTTGACTTTAATTTTGATAAGAACTTGTAATTGTAAATTTTTTACGACAAAACCCGTGGGTACCCATGAACCCGCGGATACCCAACGGGTTGGGTTGGGTTTGAGTTTTTCAAACCCAGTGGGTTTTACCCCGGGTTTTTTTCAAAGATAAACCCATGGGTTTGGGTTTGGCAAAACCCGACCCAACCCGACCCATTGCCATCCCTAATCGCAGTGAAGATACATAGAAGACAGAGGCAGAAGTGTTTGAACTTTCCTTTTCTCGTTAAATTTCCAAATGGTCACTAAACGTTGGTATATACCTTGATCAACTACAATGTGTTCTAGATTTTATTAATAATCTAAAAAACTAATAATATCAATTTTGTTACGAATTTTACATGTAAATTTACCTGCATTTGAAAGTTCGTAGGTCGCATATTAACACGTTAGACAAATCTCATATCGAAAACATACTTGACAGATTCATAATTTATAAGTAAGAAACCGACATTAACTAACAAGACATATTGTGAAGTGAAATGAAATAGTTCTTGTAAGAACTCTCAAGTTAAAAGTGTTCATTATGAAGCAATACAAGGATGAATGATCTCCTAGAAAGTCACCTTAATATGCACTCGAAGACGCACACAAAAAACGTGCGATGGACCCAAAACGAACAATAATTTAGTCAATAAAAAACTGTTAAAATTTTTATTTATTTTCTTACGAGGAATCCTTACCTGCGGGTGCCAGTTTAGTGACGCTACAGGCAGGTCAAATCCCGACCTGCTGAGCCATAATAGGCGGTGTAGACGTTCAAGGGTGGTCATGAGCCTCTACAAGCAGGGCAGGTCCTCCATATGCCCAATAGGTGCTACTGAAAGGCGTCATTGCGATTGGCGGGAATCAAACCCAGGAGCTCTCGATACTCAGTTTAGGAAAGGAAGTGTACTTGCAACCAAAAATACGGGGAAAATAAAACTTTTTGGGATCTGAACCAATTGCTCATGAGCCAGAATAAAAGGACATCTCACCGGAGATATTTGTTCGAGCATATTAATAACATCTCCTCTCACTTTCTTCGAGCTTCTTTCTCTTCTTTCAGTCGAGCTGAGTCGGTTACACTAGCTAGGCTAGCCCTTGTTCGCAAAATCCGGAATGTTACACTAATCAACATTTTTTTTTAGAATCAACACCTGTTTTATTTAATCATCAATGTTTAGACAAGCTAGTTCCTCATTAAGGAGAGCAACTAGGATAATTGGTGGCCTATCCACCCAACACTCAATTTCCTCCTAATTACAAGCAATATGGGCCATTTCATGTGCCACTCTATTTTGCTTCCTAGGAATATGGATCCATTCTATATGTTGGAAGGCATGGCCCATCTCCCTGATCTCTTTTGTTATCTGGCCCACTTCAACTTGGGAAACCACCTGGCCTGTAATGAGGCGTTCCACCTGCTGACAGTCGGTCTGGATTGCGATTGAGTGTAGATGAAACCGATGAGCCATCTCCATCCCGAACTTCACCGCCATCGCCTCTGCTTCCATCGCCTCCCACTGCCTCCGCGTCCTCTTCATCGCCGCCGCCACAAAACCTCCATCCCTCTTCCTAATTACAGCTCCCAATCCCGTTCCTTGTCCCGCCAGGAATCCCGCATCCACCGAGATCGTGAAGTCAGTCGACTGGGCAGGTCTCCATTTCCTTTCACTTTGGCGATGTGCTTCGGATTCCACCTCCTGCATGTCCTGGTATTCTTCCAGCCATCCAATTGCTCTGGGAATAATTTCCCTTTCTTCCAATTTCCTTTTGTTCCACATCTGACTGTTGCGTTGGTCCCAGATAAACCATAATGCAACGATGAATTTTCCCAGCTGTTCATCATTCTCCGTCTCTTGCAGGCTGCAGTACCATTCTTCACAGGTGAGTGTCTCCCCCCTCTCGAATAATGGATCCATAGGAGTAGCTCTCGAGACCCTCCTCACCTACGCACAGTCCCTAAAAATGTGATATTGGGTCTCTAGGAGGTCACAAAATGGACATCCTACATGGCCCCTTTGCGTTCTTTCCACGATTCTAGCTCTCATAGGCAGAATGTCCCTTATCCATCTCCACGCAAATAATCTCACCTTCGGTGGAATCTTGAGCTTCCAAAACCTTTCCCAATTAACTGGTGTGTATAATTCCCCAAATTCCTCCTCATACCTGTTCTTCCAAAGCTTGTATGCAGATCGCACCGAATATATCCCTGTGGTTTCCATTGTCCATACCTTTTCATCCTGGCAAGGTTGTCGAGGGATTAGAATTTTCTCTATCTTTCTTTGGTCTTCCATATTGAAATGGGTCTGTAGTAAATCATATCTCCAGGTTCTTGTCTCAACATTCATCAATTCAGCCACTGACGTTGTTTCTCCGATTCTCGTCCCTGGGGATGTCACTTTGTATCCTTCACTATTGGGAATCCACCGATCCAACCAGATATCAATACTTTCCCCATTCCCTACCCTCCATCGGTATCCCTTCTTAATTAGATCATGTGCTTCCATCAAGCCCCTCCAAACAAAGCTGGAGTTCCTTCCTTTTTCAGCTTCCAGCACATCCCTTGTGGGAAAATACTTCGCCTTCAAAACTCGAGCTGCTAGTGACTGAGGTTCTTTTATTATTCTCCATAGTTGTTTGCCTAGGAGAGCTATATTGAAGCATTTAAGATCTCTGAATCCCAACCCTCCTTGCTTCTTATGTCTGCTCAATTCCTCCCACCTTAACTAGTGGGTTTTCTTCTCTTCTTGCTGTTGTCCCCACCAGAAATTGGTGATCAAACTTTGGATTTCTTTAATTGTTGCCATTGGGATAGAGAAGATCGACATTGCATATGTCATTTGTGATTGTGCAACTGCCTTGATTAGCACTTCTTTCCCCGCAATAGATAGGAGTTTGCTCTTCCAGTGTTTCACCTTGCTTCTCACTCTGTCGACCAGATAACCAAAAGCTGCTCTTTTCCCTCTTCCCACTCTTGTTGGAAGGCCCAAATATTTCTCATGGAACTTCACCCCCTTCATACCAAGGATTCCAGCTAGTTCATCCCTTCTGTTTGCCTCAATGTTTGGGCTGAATGATAATTCTGACTTAACTAGATTTACTTGTTGACCCGACTCTATCTCATAGAGGTTTAGTATCCTTTTCACATGTTCACTTTCTTGCTTAGTAGCCCTGGTGAATAGAATGCTATCATCTGCAAAAAGTAGGTGGGATATATTAGGTGCCCCACGCTTGACTTTTATACCAGTGATCTTCTTCTCCCTTTCTGCCAACGAGATCAGCCCTGATAATCCTTCTGCCACTAGGAGAAAGAGGTAGGGTGAAATAGGGTCCCCTTGCCTCAATCCTCTCGTGGGTCTAAACCATTCTGTCTGGTGGCCATTTACTAAAAGGCTAAATGATACAGTGGTAACACACTCCATAATCAAATGAACCCAGTGGTCATTGAATCCCAGTTTGGTCATAACAGCCTCCAAGAACTTCCAATCCACTCGATCATAAGCCTTAGTAATGTCCAATTTTGCTGCCATCCACCCACTCTTTCCCCTCTTCTTTTGTTCCATTGTATGGAAACACTCAAATGCTACAATGATATTATCTGTGATTAATCTTCCCGGCACAAATGCACTTTGGTTAGCCACAATAATCTCGGGGAGAATTCCCTTCAACCTGTTTGCCAATACTTTGGATAGAATCTTATAGAGAACCTTGCATAAACTCATAGGACGAAAATCAGAGGGGCTGCCAGGAGTCTTCTTCTTAGGGATTAAAGTGATCAAAGTCTGATTCAGCTCCTCTGGAAAGAAACCCCCTTCCAAATAACCTTGTAACTCCCTAGTGACATCATCCCCAATTATTTCCAAGTTTTTTTGAAAGAAAAGAGCAGGCATACCATCCACTCCTGGTGCTTTTAAAGGTCCCATCTGTTTCAATGCTGCCCAAATCTCCTCTCTTGTGAAGGGTTTCAGCAAACCCTCATTCATTTCCTTTGTAACCTTCCTGGGAATTGAGTCAATGATCTGACTCCCCTGTCTTGGTGGACCTGCCAAATATAATTGCTTGTAGTAGGCGACCAGACAGGCTGCTACTCGCTCCTGTCCTTCAAATAGTTCTCCATTCATGTCTCTCAGTTTTCTTATGGTATTTCTCTCCCTTCTTTCTGAAGCTTGACGGTGGAAATATTTAGTATTCTTATCCCCCTCCTTGAGCCATTCAGTTCTGGATCGCTGTTTCCACTTCATCTCTTCAATTTCAAAAATCATATCCAGCTCCTTCTCTAGTGCATCACGCTGCTGGATGAGAGCTTGGTTCATTTGAAATTTACCAATCCTTCCCAGTACCCTCTCTATCTCTTTCCTTCTATGTTTCAGGTTACCAAAAGTTGCCTTGCTCCAATGCTTTAGCTTCTCCTCGCACTCTCGGAGCTTATGCAGAACTGATCTAGCCCCATTCCTTTTCCATCCCTCCTCCACGACTTCCTTGATA